TTGATATACCAGTTTCAAAATGAAGAAGTCATCTGGCTTCTCTTTCTGTGTTAATTTTCAGATCCTGGTTAATATATAAATATGATAATTTTCTTTGTTTCACTTCATGTGGACAAGTACATTATTTGGTATTTTTAGCATTTAGGGTATATTTGTACTTCACATTTGAGAGATTATTATTGTCTGTAGTTCTGACAGTTATAGTCAGAGTTCTGATAGTTTTGAGACTGACATTTCAAAGTAACTAAATTACAAGGTTACAGTTATTAAAAACATATTTGAAAGGACAAAATATTCAGCTCAAGCTTGGGAACCTGTGTTCTAAACCCACCTCAACACCATCGTTTGTTTGTTCAGCAGTTTAATCCCAGCCTCTATAAAACCATGCTGCCACGCAGTACTGTAAATGTGCATGGCACTCTGGGAGACATAAACACAGGTTTTATGCCCTCATTTCCACTCCTAGGAGAGGCTACTGACCCATCTTCTCCACTATAAATATAGCTCCATCTTCATGTACTTGCTGGCAACCTAAGTGAACCTCCAAAACATTTTTTACTGTAATAGCATACCCTAATCTACATTCAGTAGTAAGCCACATACTGAATCCACAAAAATGTGTGCTCCTTATCATTAGTCTAACTGCTCTCTGCTGCAGCACACTCCTGCCATTGACTACCCTGAATTGTTAATACCTGCACCTCATCCCTCTCCTGAATGATGGTGCTCTGTATTCATACAGGAAACATTTTCCATAATCTACAGTTTCTGATACAGAGCTGATGAGGACAGTTTGCAGATCTTCAAATATAATTGTACTTTTGGTAAATATTTGCTTTCCAAAAGAATTCTCAGTTTCTCAGTTTTCACATAAACGTACATAATAACTGGAGTGCTCTATATTTTAAAAATAACTCTTATTTTTACCAGAATTTTCTGGGGTAGGTAGAAGGCCAAAACCAATTTATTTGCTCAAATAAGATCTAACAACATCCTATCTGATAACTTACCATTATATAAACTGGTGTGAGCAACAGGAACACTAACTCTTCTGAGGTTTGCTGGTTTTCCTTCCAGGGATGGAGTTAACTGCACTTTGTGGAATAACACTTGAAAACGCAACTTGAATGTAATGTGTTGGTTCAGAAAATGAAAGCCAAACCAAACTCACCCCTAAACTCACTTTAAAACCAAACAGCTTCCAAAAGTCTAAAGCACTGCCTAAGAGGAGAAGCAGCAGGAGAGAAGAGAGGCTGCCAGCCCGCCCCTACCTTTGCACTGGAAGTGGTGCGTGGGTGTTGTGAGCAGCAGCCTGTCCACCATGGTGTCGGGGCCGCTGCAGCGGGCTATGCCCGGCTCCTTGTACCCCGCCTTCACCCACTCCGAGAGCCAGCGCAGCCTGCAGTCGCAGTGCAGGGGGTTGGTACCCAGAGCCCTGCAGGAGGAGAACAACCAACAGCAGTTGTTTTGGGTCCCAAGCAAAGATAACACCCCTGGCCTCACTGAGGCACGTCTTATTCTACACTTGTACAGGAATGCTTTAATTCGAAATGTGGGAAAGGCTGTCTGAGTATTCAGGAAGTCTTTTAGGTTTATCTCCTCCAGTATTCCCACCCACTTTCTTTCTTCCCATCATTCGTTAGGGAGGTTGTATAAATACCTAACAACAAATCACTTTTTGAAACAATAAATCACTTTTTTCAAACAGTTGTCAGACATACTGCTTTCATCAGATCTAACACATTGGTTTCTTTTGTTTCAGCCTTTGGCCTTCATGAGCATACTCTAACAGTGAATTGTATAACTTAGTTTGGATCTGATGGCTCATGTTAATGTCTCCTCATCAGATGAACGATACACAAAGGTGATACCTGTTTTCCAAACTGCAACCTGGTGTCTGCTAAGTTGGTTTATAGCTTTGAAAACACATTTGCTGGCTAACCCATCATTTGAGTTAGGTCATATGATTGAAGTAGATGCATTCATGTAGTGTAATTATAATTCACAGAACTTTTAAAATCTCTTTGGAAACAATTTTTGAAAGTGTGAGGAAATGCAGTATTGGAAGCCTGGATTTGTTTGGCTCAAAGTAAACGTAAGGCTTTAGTTGTACAACACCTGAATTGCCATGGGAAGAAAATTAACTAAAAATTAGCATGAGAAGAGATACTAAAGAAACCAGTAATTAAAAATGTCTTTTAGACTTTGCTATTTCTGCAGGTGTTACAAAGTATTTTTAAGATGGTATTTTAAACTCAAGCTACTTTCAGATAAAAACATATCAGGATATTAAGATAGAAACCTTGGAAAATTTGTTGATACACTTCTATTGGAGTGACTAATGAACCCACTGTGCCCTAGACAGATTCATAATGAGAGTTCATAGGTTCAAACCCTGTCTAGAGCTCATTCATCAAAATTAAATGCGTACTGCAGCACAGTATTAAAAAATATCCATCCATTCCTTCTGTAAATCCATTGCTTACAATGGAAAAAAACTACTGGGTTGACTTTTTGACCCTGTAACTGTGATCAGCTGGCTCACATGTCCAAGGTCAAACAAAATGCAGCAGTGAAAGTTGGACTGAGAAATTAACTTTAGCGTTGAGCAACTGCCATGTATAAAATGGGAGTGGGAGGACAACGTAAAGCCAGTTATCATGGGAGTTAATCTTTATAAACTACATTAGAAACGAAGCCGCTCTATAGACACTAGAGATTATTACCAATAACTTTGTTGTGCAACTGCAGGAATTTTCATGTGTATCTTTTATCTTTCTGTTCTTTTGATTGTGGTATTGTAGTTTTGGTTTTTTTTTTTTTTTTCTTTCCCTCATTTCTAGGAACTATAGCGAATTCTTGTATTTTCATTCATGAATTCTAACAAACTTTCTCTATTTTGTTTGCCCATTATAGCAAAATATTTCCAAAAGGTAAAAATATCTTGTGCTGTACTGAAATACCACCAGCAGCACTTTTAAAATGTCATGCAGATATTTCTGTTCAGAGACTTCTATTTTTTTTGGGGCAACTTAGAATAAAGTCAATTAGAATAACTCTAGCCATGAAAACGTGGAGAAGCAGAGGAGGGGATAGCTTATTTTTACAGGTAACTAACTAATTGGAGTAAAGATGAGATGATTCAACAGGATTAGGAACCTCAAGTGTTTATCAAACGCACATCTGACAGCAATACCTGCTGCACACAGCATCCATTACCAAGGGCTTCTTTGTGGTGTCCTGGGAGTGCCAAGGGGACAGTTTACGTGTGGGCAGCACTGGGGAAACTGAGTCAGTTACAGAGTTGTGTGTATGGTGAGGACAGCAAATGCAGGAGCTGACCTAACTGAGAAGGTCTCTGTTCTACCACAGCTGATTTTTTTTTTTTTTTTAAGTGGTAATATATGTGATCCTTCAGTAGTGCTGTAACATATTAGTCATTGCCCTGGACAAAAAAAATTAGTAGTCATGGCTTAAATAGATGATTCTATGATTCAAGTAAATAAAGTAATAAATAGTAAAAAAACCCAGTGCGTGTATACCATATACAAACCTTCCTCTATATAGCTTGTTATAATAGTTACATTACAACAATATGATGTTTACAATGTAAAGGAAGTTTGGTGAACATTTCCTTGCAGGCTTTAAACAGCTATGGAAAAAGTGATTGAACTGTCTAGTTTCATTCTTCCAATTATAGAACAATGTAAAGTTATTACAAAAGACTGACTAAAATCAATAGTTTTGTCTACGCTACACAAATATTTCTTGGCGATTCTAAAGGCTAATGTGATACTTTCCGTTCTCCCCCTGACCCCAGCTGCACTGGTGCAGAAGTCCCAGGCTGATCCTCCTGCTCAAGACCTTGGCAGTCAGCTTTCTCCAGCCATAATACCTACCTTGGCCTTAGCCACACAGCTTGTAAGTTTAACGCAAAATGTTGTTCTCCCGTGCATTATAAGTTTGATGAGGAGCAACCCTGTATATGGCTTTCAAAATTATTCCAAGTGCATGCTTTCTCCTTGAAAATCTGTATATCATGAAGAGCTCAAAATTAATTTATTTTCAGTTATGTATGATGGTTTGAGCAAGCACAGCTTTTCCTGGCATAGGAAGGGCAAAACCATCGTGGTTGCTGAAAGTTTCAGAATCTTATTTAAGAAACTGGAGAGCACAATTGCACTGTAAGATTCAGTTGTTCAACTGTGCAAATTACACCCCAGACAGGTCTTATTTATTTTATGGATCCTATTTATTACTGTTCATTTGAGCTTTGTGTATTTTACATTTCTGGCAGCACATATATCAAAACAGATAGACTGCAGTGATTGTATTGGGCCAAAGGGGTTTTTATCATTCCCTAAGGTGAATGGTTTACCCAGGAAAATTGTATCTGCACTTCATTTAAAGTAAACCCTGAGGAAAATCCAAACAAATGGGGCATGATATGTTTATCTCGAGTTCTAAAAATATCCTCAGATGCCAGATTCCCAGTATGGAAGGTGTTCCTGTGCTTCCAAACGGAGGTACAGGGCTCAGTGAAACCTTCATTCCAAAACAACATACAGAATGACTTGACTATACTGGGAACAGGAAGAAGAAATACGTTTTGTGCAAAACAAATATTTTCTCTGACTTAGATACAGAAGTGTAAGCTTGAAACAGAGAATGTTATTTCTCAGCTGTTGAAATTGTTTAAATTGCTCACATTTTTTCTGTCCCTACCAATCTGAGATATCTCTAATTATTATTGTCCAGAGAGAAATTGAGACAAGAAAGTAATTACACAGAAACAAACAGTCTGAGGACAGAAAATACACCAATAAGAACTGAACCTTGTGTTCAGGTAAGTGTTCTGGAAGGCATGTGTAAGATTTCAAAGAGGGAAACAGAGATATAAAACCTATGTTAAATGTGTGTAAATACCTGTGTATCTATCAACAACAACTCACATGCACAAGGGCAGCATCAGAACAGAAAATATCTGTGTCAACTTGTGGGACTAGTCACTTCACAAAATGGCCAGGACACAACCAACCCTCTGACTGAGGACACTGCTCAAGAAACATGCTACACAAAATTACTTTTCCTTTACATCTGTCATCTAATCATGGAGTAACCCATAATGTTTCAGGGAAAAGCCATTTTCTGTTTATTTTTTTTGGCAATAACTGTTAACACTTCAGGTTTACTTTGTAACAATTATAGTTATTTGTCTGTACAGCTCTTTGATCAGCTAAACTGCATTTGAAAATATTCTGGACCTCCACCAACACAACAGTAATTTCTTGAAATACCTGAAAAATCTAATAATTTTTTTGAGAATTACGGAATGAAGTATTAATGCTGTGAAATGACCTGTTTCCATATGATTAAATATATATGTCTGAAGTAGTGATTCATCAACAAGTTCACATACTGACATTTCAGTATGCAAAACATATGACACTTATTAAGCAAAGAATTCACATTTGCTTAATATTTGCTCTTTGTGGGAGGTTTCCTGTCTCACTCTCAAACCATAACACACTCTGCATTTCACACAGACAATGCTGAAAAAAAGCCTTAAGCACAAAGTCCACAGAAAAGGAAACTGTCACGTCAGCTCATTTGCCTTTCTTTAAGAAAATATTTTTCTAACTAACAACAACAGGTTCTAGTATTTTTTTTTAAATTTCTTTGAAGAGATGCACTATGATTATCCAGAGCAGAATATGGAAAGTGAGCAGGAAAACCAGAAAAGTTATAGAGTCTTACATTTGCAATAATATGTACTGTTTTATTAATCTGAGATCATCAATCAAACCGATGGACTCAAACAGAGGTACTTACAGATGGGACAGGGATACCAGGTCATTGAAGGAGCCTTCTGGAACACTGGAAATATCATTTCCATGGAGTGTCCTAAAAGAGGGGAAAAGCAGGAAGGTATCAGGCCACAGTATTCTATCTGTTCCACACAAGTGAATGAATTGGTGCTCAAGGAGGAGAATTTCCATGAGTTCCACAACTCACAAGCTTCCACGCTTTATTGCTTCTACTTCTAGATGCTGGCATTTAAAATAACGATACAGTTGAAATTGTTGGTGACTAATGTTTTAAATTTAAAAGGTGACATACTATTTATGCTATTAAAAATGTATCGATGACAAGCAGACCCTCACATAGAGACCTTATTCTTTTATAGAATTCCATTAGCCAGAAACACAGAAAAAAAACAGAACAGAGAAAATAGGGACTGTGAAAGTTAAATTAAATATTGGCTACAGAGAAATCCTAGGAGAGAACAAGTGCCCATGAGGACAGATATAGCTGCACTTTCACATACTAGTTTCCCATTCTCACAGTAGGAAATACTTATTTGTCTGGTATTTTTAAAATCCGTTTGACAGATACATTTATGCTACCAGGGAAAATACTTGAAATGAGTTGTTTTAGGGCATTATTCACCCTGTGCAAAGAAACTAACATTTTTCTAAGAGGATTTTCAGGATCCTTGTAAAAGGGTTCTCCACTGTTTCCAACACAATTTAAGCAGCCACTTTATCTCTTTTCTAAGAAATACATTTATGTGTGAGCTACATAGGCAAGCTTAAATGGAAAGATTTTTCTTGCAGCTTGTAGAGCACAATACTTTGATTCAAAGTGGCAGGCACAAGAGCAAAAAATCATTATTTTGATTACTTGTGGTTTTCATTGCAACTGCAACTGAAGGCCCTGCTACAAAGCAGAGCACCACCACCAGAAGCTGGGACAGACAAATAGAGGGAAGAACACTTCTCCCAGCAACAAGGCTATGAGCAGCCAGGAAAACACGCAGCAACAAATGAGTGTGTGGGAGGACCCAGGATGCTGGGGCTGACAACTGCATAAAAACTATCCAAAAAATGCACCAGAGAAGATGTAAGACCTTAGTAATAAATAGATAAATAAATAAATAGCTATTCAGTGGCTACATCTTCTGCCTCACTAGATAATTATCTGACAAAAAAAAAAAAGCTGCATAGAGAAAAATATTTATAGTTTATTCTAACTTTTCTATTTTGTGTGTCACTGAATGCCAGTTTCCTAATTCACATAGTAGCAGACAGAGAGAACTCGTATGGAGCCAACAGGAGTCACTTCCCTTGGATCTCACTAGCCATCTCTTGAACAAAAACTGGTAGAAAACTTGCAAAGGAAAAGGACATCAATATTTTAAAATTAGATCTTCTTTTGCACTTGTCCCCCGAGCCAGTTCAGTAATAGCAAACTGCTGTATTGTTTATGTACCCTTTCCCAGGTCTAGGAATTACTGTCAGTGCTCCAGACATGGCAGAGGAGAGTGGAAAACAGAAACCTGCTGTTTGTCAGTTTTGAAGTAATTTATTTTCTGTTTATTTACCTGGTGACTTGCAGAACACAGGAATCGCATGTTATTTATTTCTGTGACTGTACAGATTCATGAAATAGTGCACACTGAAAAACAAACCAAATGTCTGTGCCCATGGAAATACACAATAGCCCCAGATGAAAATAAAACCATCTCTTCTGGTATCCTTTCTTCCCTGACACCACTAGGAGCTTCACAAGGATCTGCGTGATGTCTTAAAACTCACTACTTCTGCTTTACACACTGCCTTACACCAGCACACTCAGAGGAAGGAAAGCCCGACGTGCCAGGGCAAGAAACACCTTGTCCTGTCTCCCTTGAGGCTGGTCCCTATGGTGGGCCTGTAAACGATGTGAGATAAGCAAGGATACCAAGATTTACAGCTGCTCATTGCAGCTGCAGTTTCTATCTTACTGCACTGCAAGGATTTTCTGCACAGTGTGAAACTACAAACACTACAGCAGAGTTATCCTCCTGGCACCTCTCTCCAGTTCTTGAGGCCAATATACCAAAAGCTTCCTCTTCCAATATACCGATTCTGAAGTTTTATTTTAAGCATACCTAGGTTTTGGCTGTTAACAATAATACTGGGCATGTGTAAGGATGGATCTCCAAGCAATTAATCCGAACAGAAGAGGAAGGGTATGAGCTCCCAGACAGTAACTCCAGCTAAGGCACACTCACTAACTGCATACAGAATGACTGACTGAGATACACTTCGCAGCTATTAAATAAGGAGCATTTTTGTTCCTTGTATAAGGATGAAAGATCAGGCCTGGTCAACACCTCATCACCAAGATGTTCCCTCCTTCAGTGAAATGAGCATATTTAAATAAGCAGCCACTCATAATGAGTTTATATTCTGATCTTTGAAACTGCTTAAAGGCGTGCAAGATGATTCTCCCTGGACAGACAGCAGAACTTATATTTCTTTTCATGTCACATCAGTTGTGTTTATTCTGTGAAGGGGTACATTTTCTTCCCTAGATGTCTTGGAAACTTCTTACAAGAGAAGCTGAAGAATGACAAGGCCATTATCTGCAAGAAGGAAAATCCATCAAAAATATAAAACCACCTGAAATGAAGGGCTCACAACTACGTATCTCAAACACTGAGGTACGTTTCTCAGATGCAACTGCCTGCATTTTAATAAAGAAATCACATCAGCAACATGATTGCTCATGAAGCTAAAATGAAATTATAGCTGCTAAAAAACTTAAACCCCACATATAATAAGTAGTGGCAAGAGAATTTAACAGTGTAATAAAATCTTTTACTTCTTGGATCAACAACAGGAGCACATTTTTATTCCAAAGACCCTTATAAGCAAATGGTCAAATAAAACCTCCAAACATTTGGGACAGTTAAAGCACACACATGGACATATGTGTTCTCCCTGAAAAGCACAACTTCAGATATCCTCTTGTCTAAACACAGGTACCCAGTAGGGCTACGAATTTAAGGTGGTGTGGATCTTCCTCAGAGCACACACTAACAAAACACTTGAATTCTTGAAATTACTTTCTTCTGCATGCAATCTCACTAACTTATTACTTTGTCTTCAGGTAGCAAAATGAACTAAAAGTATTCTTTTAGGTTGGTTTTGTTTGTTTCTTTGTTTTTCCTTTTACTAACTGCTCTCAAGTCCTTCCTAGCCCACTTGTCTCATAACATCAGGTTACCACAGACACAAAGGAGATGCTTTTGCAGTAAACAATCACCTACCCTGGCTTACAGAGCCACATCCCATGAAGGGCAGACACCTACAGTGAACCCTGTAGGATGTTGTACCCTGCAGGAACCAACACAACTCAGATGTCAGAGGGAGTGGGAAGCCACAGTCTCACTGCTTGGTGCTTGTAACACCACCACCTTTTATGGAATTACCGGCTAATTACAAGAAGTCATTCTGTGATGCAAAAACACAAAAAGAGAAACAGAGCAGACAAAGCCAAATAGTATTTTTGTTAGGTTTAATTAGCACAGCACCCAACAGTGAAACTATATTGCAAAAATTGGTTCCAGAGTTGTGCTCAGAGTATTAGTGGTAGCTTCATCATCAACACATATTACTCTGTGTGTGAGCTTTGAAGTGCAGTAAATATCCTTCAGTTTTCAGCAAAACTAGAATATCTAACGTTAGCAGAATATTCTGTAGCCCATTTGATAATTTCTTTCATAAATATAAAATAGAAAATTGTTTAGTGATCTAAAAAAGTATTTTTATTTCTGGACTTTTAATTAGATCAGGGGAATTGTCAGAAGTTACAACATTGTCGCACAATAAAACCAAATCTTTAAAATAATCAGTTCAGGTTTACCATAGAGTCTGAATATTTATAATGACTTTGTCTCAGTCTGAGCTTTTTAAATCTGTTTATATTTAGCTTCTAAAAAGACTAGCTTTGGACCAAAAAAACCAACAAAACAAAACCAGAAAACAAACTCACAACTTTTCACTTCAAGAGCTTTGGTGCAAACACCTACAGATACAAACTTTTGCTTATTTAGAAACTTCTTAAGCCTCTATGTTGAAATTGCTCCCCAGCACACTTTGGATACTATTATGCATAAGCCATGTGAAGACTAAAGATTAAAGCTTTGATTGTGTAAACACTGATGTATATTCAGGCTCAAACATAAACATGTTGACTCTGCAGTTTTCTCAGTTGGGCTCGGGCTGAAAAGTGTTTGTTAAGAGAGAGCACAGAACCAGATACCTGTCAAAGATCAACTTCATCATACACCTACGATTATTCTGATTTTCAAGTACCTATTTACTTTATTTACTATAGAGAGGCACAAAGTAAAGGCAAAAAGGAAGCATAAGGAATTTTTAAGACAGAGGACCCTGCATGAGATGGGTCTGCCACCTTCAAAGGCATGTGGATTCAAAGGTAATGGGATCTCTACATTCTTTTTATGGGGGAAAAAAAAAAGAGAACATTGTTTTGCTGATGTTTTCTCTTTTAACTTCCCCTGAGAATATGGATAAAAAATAACTGACAATAACAGATGGTACATTGCCACTCTGAAGCCATTTTCTCTCTGGGGAACTGATTTTTAATAATAACATAGATGACATGTGGCAAAAGTCGTAGCTGATTCTGGAGTTTTGTGGGCCATAATAAATCAAATTAATCTGGATGCTTCCCAATGCATGGAACAGAGGCAGATATTCCCACTTAGGCCTCATTTTACTCTCCCTGAAAGGAGGAAAATATTTTTTCCATTTGATTAGCAGATTATTTAAAAAAGCCAAAAGATAACAGTTATTAAAATACTTCCCTTTGTTTCTGTTCATATGTGGCCTGCAAGAACAGACATGAAAAGACAAATTTGTAGCTGTTTGAAGGAGTGAGGCATAGTGTATCTACACTAGTATTCAAGATACAGAGTCCCAAACTAGCTCTCCTCAAGCTAGTTTGCATATCTGAAGCAGGCCAGAAGACAATTTTTCCATGTGGAACAATTGATTTGGCCATGAAATAGAACATATTCAACTGTGGCTGAATTTCAGGGCTCATGTAACAACTGAAACGTGACCATCTTAGTGCTTTAGAAATCAGAGTCCCAACCCAAAGTTAAAACAAGAGATCCAAATCACGTATCTTTCCTGGTTTCAGTGATGAAAACTGGGAATCTAAATCTGTCTTGTAAGTTCAGAAGTTGAAACCCAGATATCTATTTTAGCACTCAAACCACAGTGAAAGAGCCCAGCCAGAGATCATTGGCTTATTGCTTCCACAGTTGCAGCGCTGCCCATGTCAGCACATTCAGGGAGTGAGTGCACAACCACCACTGCTCTCTAAATTCACAGAAACTCCCACGTGTGAATGACACCAAACTTTCTTAAAAAAATAGCAAATACTAATGTCAAGTTTCAAAGTACCCAGGACATCTTCTTTGGCTCCTTTATTCTGACCTTTTAGTGTTCCAAGCTTTTTCTCCTTCAGCACACTGAATAGCATCACCACAGATAAGCTATTTAGCTTATTTGCTTTCAGTTTACTGTGCAAATAATGATGACCCACCTGTGTTGCTGGGCTGTGGGGAAGAAGGTGGCAGTTCCACCTTGTCCTGACCGCTGCACTTGGGGTCAAGTGTCCACACAAACAACTGAGCAAACCCAACTTGGGGTGTATGTTCTGATGGGGTAGGTAGGGAGGGAGAGACAATAAATTTGAGACTGAAGCAGAAGGCAATCTAGTAGGCGCCTAAGAAAAGGGGGGAGGGAGAGGAGCTGGTTGCTGCAAGGAACAGGCCCACAGCCCACATTCTGAGAAGATGACTTTCAGAAGAGATTGTAAGCAAATTGTTCAATCTAGAAAGCTGCTGAAAGCAGCTACAGTGGAGAGAAAGAGTGCACAAAAGGATCTCCAAAGAGACCACACAGGGATATCTCTGATTGTGCCACCATTCAACATGGGATGAAATTTCATTCACAACTTATTGATATTTGAGATGGGCATCTCAGCATTACTGGCCCAGTCGTTGGCTTGACTTACTCATTGTTTTAGTGTGGGGACTTCTAACTTCCCTTCTTTTATGTACAACTTGCCTGCAGATATCTAAAGGAATAGAAAATATTCTAAAAATGCACAAGTTTTCAGTAAAGACACTCTTGCTGAAGCATCCAGAGGAAACTTATACTCTAAAGTAAGATCAAGTTTTTACAGAGAAAAAGTCCTTTTCTGTGAGCCACCCAGACATTGTTCAAGTAGAAGAAACAAACAGATTCTATGCAGTCCCTTGGAGGTTTGTTCTCATGATAGTTCTTGTCCCTGAACTATCATAGAAAATTCATTCATCCTGCAAATATGTAATTGCTTCTTTTCAAAGTTTAGCATTCACCTGCTCTTGTCATTACTGGACATATTGCACCTAAGTACAAGTACATTGAAGCTAATTGTGTGAAAATATTTATGGCTACTGGATTAAGTGAAAGCCATCTGCTCATTAAAAGCCTTCCTGCCATCAACAGCATTCTAATAAGCTGCAACTCAGCTGCATCAGAGAAGTGGTACTTACAGCACTCGAAGAGACCTGAGCCCGTTGAACGCGTGAACTGGAATGCACCGAAGTCTGTTGTAACTCAAGATGCTGGGAGAATGAGAGAACAGAGTTACAACATCATCATTTCTCTGATTATTTCACCACTAATTCAACCACAAAGAAGCACTGAAAGCCATATGCTTAGCAAGGAACAAGATAAATACTAACTGTTCAATACCTAAGATGGTGTCTGAAAAGCAATTAAAATTGTTCTAAAAACTTTGGCCTACTTACAGTGTTGATAACTGAGTCATGTTGCTGAAGGTGTAATTGGCCAATACGCTTATGCTGTTGTTGCTCAAATCACTGAAGAAACACACAGAGAAGATGTCATTTATATGTATGAATTAAGAAGTATCTTTTAAAAAAGATTACATAACTGCACAGCAAAATGCTTAAAGCAATTGAAAAGTTACATATTAGCAATTAATATGTTTTCTAACATATGTTTTCAGCTTTGAATAAGCTGTAAAAGCAAAGCACATCAGACTCCCCCAAAGAGCCTCCAAAATCTTCAGGCATATAGTATTCAGATAAAATAATCAGTGAATACAAAAATTTTTGAAGGATAAAATGATACAAGCACAAGTTAATATTTACTGTACCAATTTGTTTTGCAATCTAACACAAGCATATCATTTCCATATGCTCTTCACATTGACAGCTACTAGAACAAAATTTCATTTTTCATTTAAAGAAAGTCTTTCAGGCTCAAGCAGAACATTCTGTTTTGTTTTTGCTCTCCCTTGAAAACCAAAATTAGAGATGTTTCCAAATAAAACACTCTTTAAAAATAGAAGATTCCAGTTTTCCATGCATTCTGGTTTTGTCTGAGGTTGTTCTGCCCATTTGACTTGAATACCAAGAGCTGATTCAAACAGCATTTGAAAATTTCTAATAAATACAAAGGAATGAAATTCACCATTAGCTGAAGTATTTCAGGGAGCAATTTACTGCACAAAGTCTAGTTGTGTCTCTATCTGTATGACTGCTCCTAGCAGAAACAGCTATACAAATTTTCACTGCCTTAGCATTATAAATCCTGCCTCACCTAGAACAAATTAATGTGATCTCTGTTAATGACTTTTACAGCTTTGCACAGATAAATCTGCCAAGTGAAACCACAGCAGCTTGTGTGAAGAGTTTAGCCCTCTCCCAGAGGCTGGAAGCTCCTGCGGAGGAAGGAAGGGTCTCTGCTACTCTCAGTCACCTCACTCTTTCTCCACTCTTTATGAACACTTATTGGCAGCAGTGGCTACTGTGAAATTCTTCCCAAATTCAAATTACAGAAGTATTTTGATCTGTGGGCATTTTTTCCTCCCAAATACTAACTATTTATGTTCCACCTACAACACAGCGCAGAAATTCACATCATTTTCTTGACATTGAAACCACGTGTTTCTTACATCAGTGTCAGGTGTCTGAAGGTGGAGAGCCCCTTCGGCACAGCAGTCAGATGGTTTCCTTCCAGGTATCTGAAAAAAGACAGATTTGACAATTATACTAACATGTTAAGAACAACTCCTGCCACTCAATCTGTACCATGAATGAGGAAAACATGAAGTCAGTCACTAAGGAAATTATTGTTGATTAATTACTTTGAAACTACAACAGTTTCTCCTTTATTAATGAATTACTCCACATGCAAAGCATGTTAGTAGCTTATTGGTTTACTTTTTCTTTTTTTTCAAGACCTGGCAGCAAATAAAGGATCTCTGGTCATGGGATGTGAGACTTTTCCTGTTTATTACCAAAATAAAAGAGACACAACTGGAGTACTTTTCCTTAACCCTGGCTTTTGGGTGAAACATCACCCTTGGAAGATACCAAAGTAGTAAGGCTCCAATGGAAATCGAGCACTCTGGTGCCATGACATTGTCAAGGTGATCCTCCAGACACCTGCCAGAAGCTACACCTACCTGGGGAACAAATCCAACCTTCTCAGAAAGTACTGTGTAGGAAGAAGGCATTTCCCCCTCCACAGGTGAGGATAAAACATGAAATGATATTTCCCCTTTGGTAAAAGATACTATGAAGGCTTTTTCCCAAGGCAGACATGGGGCAATGCAATTGATGTGGTATATTTTGAAAGAATTAAACATAGCCAGAAAATACAGCCAATGGGCACCAGAACACTTAATGTGCTGCCTCTGCTGCTGAAAATGTCCAATAATCATGTTAAGAATTTTTATTCCCCTCCCCAATTTCCTTTTATTTGGCAGCAGGCCTCCTTATTCTGCGTGCAGTATAGCAAACAATAACAATAATGAATTCTTACTGGGCTATATGTTCCTTCTCTTCATTAACTGTAACAACACAGACATTTGTGTAAACTAAATCGAAGAAAATTTTCCCACAAACTTTATTTTTACATAATTTAAAAATAAAGTTTATAAACACTAGCAGAATTTCTTACATAACACATTTACAATTGTCACTTTTTTTTCCCTGCCCCTTCTATTTCCACGTAATTCCCTCTCACCATTTTCTTCTGCTTCAAGTCTCTTTTCAACTAAACTATTCCAACTGAACTACCCCAGCCTCGTGGTTTTCCATTCTGCCTGCACACAGGATCCCACCAAGCTGCAGCTCCCACAGGGCATGGGGTGGAGCTGACCTAGCTCCTGCTAGGATGAGGCTGGACAAGCGGGACTAGAGGCTTTGGAATCTTTAACCAAATGCAAAATCCTTCCTTAATGATAAAGCCCTATTGAATAACTAAATCTGTCCATTCACGAACATCAGAGGCATCGAGTGACGGAGTTGCACACTAAACCCTCAGCCCTTGCACAGTAGGGACTCTTGCTCTGCTGACACACATCATCACAAACCAGAGCAGGAGTTAGCTACTCCACGTTTACACCTCCCGTGGATACTCACATTCAGCAAGTGTAAAGACACTTGCTTGATTTTGACTAAATTTGTTCTAAATTATTTTGAAAAAGGAGTTCTCTGGTGAATTCACACCGTAAATAATTACACAGCAGATCCTCAGCATTCAGCCAGCTATGTTACTATGCAAACAGGGCAAAGCATGACTCGTTTCCCCACTCATGGTCTGCTATGGACGCAGCAAGCCACGGGCAGTCTGCACCTTCTTCTTCATCCCAGAAAGCTGCAAATCTTCAACGCATACGTGAGGGTAGGCTGAGGTTCCAGTCTCAATTCCAAACATAAAATGCAAAGGATTTACAAAGGAACTCACAAGCAGGTCATGTATTATGTATTTATTTGGAAGCTGTATATGATTTTATATAGGAAAGGAGACTCAACATTTGCACCGTGTTGAAAACTTCAGAAGCATATTTTCAGGATATTCTCTTGTTGATCCCAGTACAAAACAGCTTGCAATTTGAACAAATCAATGATGGCTAGCCAAGGTTTCCCTGCCCTCTTTTGCTTTCTGGTGCAATCAAAAGTTGACGGTGCACATTTTAATCCAGTGATTCATCATTCAGACTAACATAGACATGCAGACCCCTGGAGTTCAACTCCTACAGAAGATCTGCTTTGAAAAGCTTTGGATTCATACTTCAAGCAATTTGATGGTTATGGAAATGTGCTAGCAGAAAGCTGCAATTGTTAGACCAGTGGTATAATTTCTGAACAAACACAATTTTACACTGAAAAATTACTGCTAATATACTTTTCAGCCATGCGTAAGAACAACTCACCACTGTTAAACCTTTTACGACAGTATACAAAGAGTGGCAGTATTTTCTAAGCAAAAGGCATTCATTTTGAAAGCACATTAAAGTGCAATGAATTTGAGGTAACCATAGCTTTTAGGGCCTAAGAGCATGCCAAGAATGAGGAGGATCTGAGATGCAACATTTGACAAAACCAAGTGCTGTCGATGAGCTGTTCCCACCAGGGGCCAGGGCTCGGTCAGAGCAGGGAGGGGACATGGGGGCAGCAGCTCTGCACATTGCTGGGCTGCAGATGATGTATAGGGGTATAGGGGCTGAAAGAGGGCTGGAGGGTGGACATGGTGAACAACAGAATTAATCCTTAAGGGCGAAGGGGCAGAGCCCAGTTACTAAACTCTGCGTATGTACGTATATGTGTATATATAAATAAAAAAAACATAGATGAAGCCACAGCCCGCTGCCCAAACAAAACAAAACAAGCCATAAGACAATGATGTGGAGGGATGATTGTATTTTTAATTCTTTTCAATCCTTAGCCAAAGGAAGATGACGTATATGGCATCTGATATGCAAAGAAATTCTGCCATGAATGAAAAAGTATGTCTAATTTTAATGATCAGAGTCAAGAGTGGGTGTCAGCTACCTTAATATAGACACTCTGACTAGTATCCGAAACAACCTCGTTTGCTTCCTAAGGTCTCTAGACTTTGTAGTTTAAATATCAGCTTGGAAATCAGTTTTTACCCCATGAATGCTGAAGTCTCAATAATGACTTGTAACCAACTAGCACACCCAAACTGGAAAAAAATACATATTCATTTTCTCGTAAAATGCCACCAACTACACACCAGGAAAGGCTTCTTCTTCTAAGGCATGGCCAAGTGCTGGAGACAGGTAACAGCTGGCATGGCCACGCCTTGCTCCACGCTTGCACCAACCATGCTGGCTCTGGGAGCCCAGTGCCTGCAGCAGCCCCGGGGTCCAGCCAGCACCTTCCACACACGCTAACATCACAGATCAAACACTGAAAACTCTGCATAAAGGATGACAGCTGTTCTTCTCTCCAACTTGTCTATTTTTATACTGAAACCACACTTGGACTGGAGGTGATATAACCAGCACAAGGTGCCAAAGCATCATGTAATGATTGGAATCACTTGGAACCTTTTTTGTACAGAAGTGTCTGCTCAGCCATAAAGTCAAGCTCACAGTGGCAATCTGTGCTAAGAGGAGAAACTGGAGAGAGAAATCAGTTCTCAGGCACTAACTGAAAAGGCACAAAGCTTTTAATTTGATTTCGTTTAATATTTAATCTAGAACATTACATTACAAAACCCCCATACTTGACAATTTTATGTAGCTCTAAAATTAAGTTATAATCTGAACTTTTTAATGCAGCTAATCAATTTCCTAAAATTTTGAGGCAAGTTTCATTTCATAAAAATGGTGATATAGAAGAGAATTGGACTGTGAAAGATGAAACATCCGTACAGCATGAATTTTAAGAGCTTCAATTACAGTTTCTTGAGAAGAAGAAAAATTCAAATATAGATCTTAAACTTTGTTAAGCATTGGCAGATTTGGACTTTGGATTTTGCTGCATTTGTATGTCAGACCACAGTGTACAGGTCTGACAAACAGAAACACAGCTGTGTTGGGGAGAAATGTGAAAGCCATAAAGTTAAACTTACCTGCAGTCTCTACTAGTGTTAAAATCACCTTTCCAATATGTACTTAAACTTCGTCAGTCACAGAACACATTATTTGACAGTACTGATACTATTTACTCTTTCTAAAATATCAGATTTGAAATGCAGACTGAAGTCCTCTATTCTAGCTATAACCATGTTATCCTTCTACAGAACTATCCATTCTCTCAGTGGCAGAATTTTCCTCTGCAAGGAATGTAAAGAGTGTAATTGCAGAGTGTAAAACCTTTTATGATACAGGACCATGTAAGCCTACGCTTTGATCTAAATTGTTTCTCTCCCTTGTTATCACAGGAAAATTAGCTGAAGTCTGTGTTAAGGGTCTGCGTATAAAATAGTGCAGATTGCCTGACAAGCCAAAGCATTTGCATTCTCAAGCAGATGATTTTCATCAGGTATCTCACTTCAGATTTATCCCTTTGATGAACAGCACTCTAGGCACACTGTAAAATGTCACTAAATTGTTATAATATTTTACAGGAATCATAACTAACTGCTCAGAGCATCTTTATTGCAACACTTTGTGTGGCCCAGGTACAAGCCACTGTTTTTAGCTGCAAGTCAAGAGAAATCACAAGGGCTTTGGAAGATGGAAAGGAGGGTTGAGATTGGTGGTAAATACCTCCAGGAAATGTATGGAAAGCAATTGTCAAAATCACCTTGATCAGCTGGAGATTTAGCTGAATAAAGGTGCCATGCTAAGGCTGAGGCAGCAACAACAGCAAATTACAGGTGAGGAATAAAGAGCTAAATGTTCAGTGGGATCCCTCTGCTAGTAAGCATGTCAGCTGCTCAGGAAAACTGCTCTGCCAAGTACTGATTGAGCCTGCAGGCTGAATGAACCTAACACGCAGAACAAATAGACACAAACTAGGGAGAGAAGGTTTGTGAGGAGAGAAAGCGAAATGGTAAATGGAATAAAAATATTAATATGTATTAATACAACCAGAAAAAAAAATAATCACTAACAATGATGCATGGATGCAGGTTTTCCTAACAATCCCATCAGTGCTATCATAGAGCTCAGTGTCATGACAACATCTGGAGTCTAGAGATGACATGATTAGTACATATTTATTCTAAAAATACACCATGCTTATTATGTTATAGCTATTGACATGTTGTCTACATAATTGCCTCCAATGTTTTTCCCCAGTGCAAAATATTATCTGCTATTAGGTCCATAAAAGCAGCTGGATACTGTCAGATAAGACTGTATTAGAAATAGACAACGCTTTTCAAAAAACAAAACAAAACAAAACAAAACCCAAACCCTAGTGTTCACACACTGAGGTAATATATAAAAGGAAAAAGAGCATGGGAAACTTAGTTCAAAGAGATTTGGGTGAAAAAGAAGAAAGAAAAGGAAAGCCTAAAACACTAAGCAGCAGTGAAGCTAAGTTCCAAACTAGCTCATTGCATGAACATTTTACTTCTGAATATCTGGACTAGAAAACTGAGTATGGTCAAAAAAACCAAGGCTTCTCTTCAGAGCAAGAAAATAGGGGGAAAAAAAATGTAAGCGGTACATAAATATACAGCAAAGGAATTTGCAAGAAACAACATTTCGCTGTTCCCAAGAAGACGAAAGAAGGCTTGCCCATGATGATGGGGTTTTGTGAAAGAATAGCTGGGAAACAGATTTCTTGCATCGTCATCATCCCTCTAAAAGCCAGGAGACTTAGTGACCTTTTCAACTCTATTCTAGATGGAAACCTTCTCTTCCAAGGTAATCCCTCTTCCCAAGGGTGGTAAAAACAAAACACAGGGATGTCTCCTGTCATTCCAAGCTCTAAATATAAATGAGATAATGGTTTTCACATGTTTTGCCTATATGCACTTCCAAAAGAGAAACTCAAGAAGAAAATTGGAAGGAGTGAGCCTGTGTCTCCAGTCCACCATGTAACAAAACATCGCTGGTGATCTTTTTTTGCTGAGCTTAGGTCCAGTGAAACGTGACTCAGCAAACAGTAACGTTTTCCCTACGTGCCTGTGCAAGTCATATGTTCAGTTTTGCATGTTGCTATTTAATACCTATTACAATGAAATAACTCTTAGTTTAAGTCTATTCTAAGCCCTCTAGAAGAATTTAAAAGAACTTCAGAGAATCCTACATTCAGTCATAACAATTGGTTTATCTAGGTACATAGCAGTTCTTTTCCTTAAACCATCTTGTACAAACCCTCTGTAGTTGGATACAGAGCACTGCAGCTAACGTGCCTTCTAAATTAATACATCAATAATGGAAGTTTACAAGTGTTAGACTGGTGGGTTCATAAGAATTCCACTAAAATGCTCCCCTGCATCAGATGACTGCTCAGGTTTCCTGCAGGGAGGGGGCTGTGGCTGCCAGGACAAGAGGCTCTTTATGCCCTTGTCCTCTCCCTGGCACAACCTCTGGCCTTGGGGAAATGGGGATATTTTAGTCTAGGGAGTGTAAATAGATTGAGCAAGATAAATCTGTTTCATCCTGTGCTCAGAAATCTAGTCAGCTTTCTCTGCCAAGTTTTAGCTGTTCTCAAAATGAGGCAGGAGGTGAGATTCCATAGGAGATGCTGCTTACCACAGCAGCAATCACAATTCTCAAACACAGAACAATAAAAATACTTAAATTCACATTAACAACTTGGGACCTAGATGATATAGTCCTTTCTAGATTATTGACAAAACTGGAAGCAGAAGGAAGGTAAGTACAATTGATTATTTAAAAAAAAATCTATTTCCTGACAGTTTCCACAAACAGGTGAAATTTTAGCTTCAGTACCTGCAGCTCATCTTTTGGTATCGATGATAAATAAGGAGCTCAGTTTATGTTGGTTGAGAGGAGAGTGAGATCAGGATTGGATTTTGAGACAGCTGGGACAGACTGAAGGTTATATTTGCAGAACATGAAATATTCAGAGCCAGCCAGTCCGTGGCTGAATGTGTTCTGCTGACACATTTCTGGATTGAAAGCAGAAAATTGAACTAGAGGCTTTCAGAGCCAAGAGGAGCCCGCTGTAAACTCCTGCGGAAGAAGACAGTCACGTAAACTCCTATGAACTCAAACTGCTCAGTTCCAGGCTATTGCCTCATTTGCCAAGAAACAGCTTAAGAAAATATAGCAGTTTTCAAGAAGGTGAGATTAATTTCACTCTTTTTGTGAAAGTTATGTCATCAGTGTATCAGATAGCATCAGTAAAACTCAACATGAAGAATTTAAACATAAAAATTCCTCAGTGTGGCAGTGGAAATCAAAGTAACATCCGTGATATCTTACTGTTGGCCAGTCATATCTGAATGCAACAAAACGTGAACAAGAACAGAGCAGAAACCACCTCAAAGACTTTTTATCACTGATGGCAATATATAATGGAACACAGGCCAGGAGCTGGCTTTTAATCCCAACCACTATTATCCATGCCCTGGTTAACAGTGTTCCAAGGATGTGTTCATTAATGTAAAATTTTGATGTTAATTTGAGTTACCACAGACACTTTCAGCACACTCCTCATTCAGCAACAAAGTCTTGTATTTGACTACAGCACTGGTAAAACCAGTGGAAACCCCATTCTCCCACTGCAAAGGGAGTAAAAAGAGGTGTACCTCATTCACCAGCTGCCTTGTTACTGATTAGTAAAAATAATACTAGACACTAAAAAGCAGCAAAATCAAATTTTAATTTCCTACAAAAATCCCTCAGCATACCGAATAACTCACCCAATTATTTTTACACAGAAATGTTGATGAGATTGTAACAAGTTTCAGTAACTATTCACCTAGGACAGATTTGGATAAGGACCTGAAGAGGAAATGCTCAGTATTGCTGTTGCCAACTGTTTAAGCCAAGCAGTTCCACCAGTGTAGTTTCTTTCCATGGAAAGAACACAAATCCAATATAGAGTCATAGTGAGGGGTAGATGAAAAGATGACCACAAAGATGGTTCTCAGCTAGGATGAATTTACTTTACTATTTAATTTAATTATCTGTTATTTTAGCCATTTCATGAGGCTTGGATAAAAGGATTCTTTGTTTCCACCACTGGCTTTCTTCCTCCTCTTTCTTTTTAATCTCCTCAGAGGATAATTACCTCACAGCCACGTAACTCAGGAACATATTTTTGTCATCCTTTTAAAACGCCTGTTGTGAGCTTAGGCTTCTCAGAAGTACTACAGGATTATTTCATCTTAATACTTGCACTTGCTCTCTCACACAGAGTTAATGGGTACAAATGTAGATAAACTCTGTTGCCATTACAGAACAAGGTATTCACTCAAGGAGCAAATAGTATGAAAATAACAGTCAAAACATATGGAAAGCACCACAGATCAAAACATGAGTCACTGAAGTCAAAAGCAAAACCTCCACAGACCTACAGAGCCTCCCTGTGATGTAATTTCACGAGCCTAGGGCAGGAGCAATGTAAAAGGTAACTCACAGCTCAGTCACGTCTTTGGGAATTCCTTTGGGCAACACCCGCAGCCCTTTGTTGCTGCAGCGAACCACCGAGTCCACACAGGTACACTGGGAGGGACAAGGAGGTTGAAGCAAGCAGCTGCTTTCATCATTACCTGCAAAGGGAGAGAAACAGAGTGTTAGGAAGTCAGCTTTACAGCCCAGAGTCATGCACTTGGAGGATAACTGCTTACAAGAACCAAGGAGGGGCATCCCTGAATCCATAGGAACCACCACAACTAAAGCACATCCAATGCTTTGGATCAACCTGCCTTCATACAGGCTCTTTAGGCAACATGAACAACAGTTCAGAAACTGACTAGCAACATTTAAAAGTAGATTTTTTCTTTTTACTAAGGAGTATCAGCTACGTGAATCCCAAATCCTCCTCCCACTCCCAATGCACTAACTGAAATGAAGAACTTGACCAGAACAGACAGAACTTGCCCTTACATTCATTTAGACAGATGACATTCTCTATCTGCTCTGCTTTAAGAAGACTTTTTGAATATTCAGCTTTTAGATATTAATTTTTTAAAGTCAGCCTGGCACATCATTCATCACCTGAATTGTAAAAGCTCATTGTTTTTGACAAAGATAACCAGTGAAACAAACTGAGCAGCACTTCCAGCTGCTGGTGATCCATCTGTGCACCCATGAAAATATTTACTTTCTCTAGAAACAGTTTCAAAGGTCCATAAACAGCAGATTAAATCTTGTAACTGAAGAACAATAGGCTCTCTGCAGAAGAACTCTTTGAAGTGAAGAACTTTACAGCATGGATTTTCCCCAAAAGCAACAGGCTTTGCAAAGCCCACAGCAAACGTGTGCTACAGTGTCACGATGTATATGACAGGGAACACTTAGTGGCACATTCTCTAGATGACAGTGAGAGGAACCACACAATTGTTTGTGAGCCCAGGCAGCCTGAGCTGACCAGCATGGAGACACAGTGCTGCACTCCAGGAGCTCACAGCCAGCTCTCATTATGTGCCAATTTTTTTTTTTTTTTTTTTTTTAACTGATGCAAGGACTAATTGAGACAGATCTGCTTCTTTCTTCTCTCTGCTGGATGTACCCATGAGCATTGAGATAAAAGAGTAAGACTGGAAGTCTTGATACAAGATAATAAAATTACCCATAAATGTATGGGTAGGGAATAATTTGTATTCAGAGGGATGGAGAAGCACAACCAGCCAGAACAGAACAACAGGGAAGATTTTATTTTTTCCTTTTTCTCCCCAGCTGAGCTTAATAAGCTTAATGACTGGAAATAAAATTCAAAGTCTTTCATAAACCTGAAGAAAGAACATATTTCTTCAGAATATTCAACTTCCACCTGTCTTCTGCGTTTTACACCCTGCCACCTTCTACGTTCCATTCACGGCTGTCTGTGTGACTGTATGACAGAGAAAGCTCCCAAGCATGGAATGTCATTCTGTGGACAAGGTTTTAATTTTTTTTTTTCTCCCAAACTAAAAGCAAATTACTCTTTAATGACTAAACTTGGGTCCCTTGAGCTCTGAGTCCAAGCACGTGAGCCTACTGCCAGATTACTCGACTAGGATAGGAATTGATTTCTACTCTAAGTAGGAAACTTCTACTACTCTTATGACCTTTTCAGGGGTATGACTAACTGCAGCTCCAGCATACCTGGTTTTAATAGATTATCACAGCATACAAGTCAAGTGAGCAGTGCATTCATCAGTCAGTTTTTCTCCTTACTATTTCTCTAATCTGCTTGATCAGAAGAGAAATAACTACATGGAGAATGAAAGAAATGTCATGATAATGACGACGTCAAGTTTTTAAACCTATATGGACCCAGCAAAGCATTAACGCATCACTAATTTAAAATAATATTTATTTATTTATTTATTTCCCTGTTTTCATACCTGTTATTGGTGAAACTTAACAGTATCCAAAACTAAAAGACTTCCCAAGCGAGCACTGTTCCCACTGGCTTCTTAGTTAACTGATGTTAGTTAAGTGTATGAAGGAAGTGAGAGGAAGGGCTAGGATTATACTAAGATTATAAAAGTCCTGATAGGCAACAATGATCTTCAGCTCTAGGTGGCTGCCTTCCTCATCACTGAACGGGAATGTTTGCCATGTCTGATAGGAAGGTCGATCCTCACAGAGGTGCCTACGTTAACATAAATGCCAAATCGAATTGGAATTTCTTACCTTCGCAGGTGAAGTCTTGGACGTCTACATCTTGGATTGGAATATCCTTTAAGAAAAAGGGTTTCAAGCAGCGTGGATTTCCACTGACAATTCTCTTCTTCCTCAACCATTTTCCCAGCCAGGCCAAATGGCAATTACAGTTAAAGGAGTTAGCCAGCAAATTACTGAAATGGAACAAGAAGTAATTGCATCAAACATGAACATACAGAAATACTGAAATAACTACAGAAAGATGATGGGTTCCAAGTCCAAGCTCTTTCCTGCCATCTGCTTCTGTGAGATCCTCCTCTGTTCTACAGATAGGGAGGTTCCAGGCAGGTTTCACTTTAGAACTAGGGTTGTGATTAAAAGATATATATATATGTTTATAAACCAAAGTACGTATTGCTACTACTACTATTCGGACATATTTACAGCACTAACAGAGCTGTATTTATAGTGGATTTCAACCCAAGCTCACACCCAAGTCTGAATTCACCTTGCACACTGCACCCACGTGTGCATGATCCCCAGCATCGCTCCTTCGCGCAGTGCCGTGGGAAGTTAGCACTGCTAGCCCTGAGCACAGACCCACCCGCTCCCCTCCCTGGGAGCACAGCCAGCTGCAGCAGCACAGTGCTCCCTGCCCCAGCCTGCTCCCCAGCCTGCTCCTGCTCTCCACCTGCCTGAGTTATGGCCCGTAGGAACCAGTGCCAGGTGGGAGCCACCCGCAACCTGGCTTTGGATTTCCTACTGAAATGGTAAGGACGGCCCTCTGAATGTATGCGCATACATGTATAAAGCAGCACTATCAGCCTGAGCCACTTCTTATGAAGTTTCCTAAGGTCTGCAGTGAAAGCATCTGCTCTGCTGCCCTCTGATCTTTGCAAGGTCTGCATCAAATCTTGTTACAGCTCCTGAAATATCTTTCAAATACAGTTACAGCCTCGCTGTGGTACTGGGGTGTGCAGTACCCAAAGCAGCCATTTGACAACCTCTGTGGGAGGGATGATTTCTTAACGTAGCTTGAGTTAGCAGTGTTAATTTAAAAAAGGAAAGCTCTATCCATCCTGTTGTCAAAGGCATGAACACACAGATGTACAGCAATTACTCAGTAGCACACCTGTAACACAGTATAGAAAAGACACTATTAATTTCTATTTTTTAATAGGTTGTGACCCTTTAAATGAAAGGAGTGTAAAGTGACAGTTATTTTAAGCAACCGTTGTTCTAAGCTAACCAGAATTAGTGCTAAGGATCATGGAAAAAACATTTTTTTTTCTGTAGTCCTGTATTAAAATGTCTATCCATAATTTGTGTGTAGGCTTTCCATGACTAAATTTCAGTGGAAGGGAAGAGGCTGATACCCCTGGCTAAAAATAAAAGTTCACTATCCTATGTAGAAAGACAGGAAGAATCAATAGCCTCAGCCTGAGATTGCCTCACTGAAGACAAATGAGCTGTCTGAGCCCCACACATAGAAAATTAAGCATCCAAACAATGATAGAATTCTCACATCATATGTGAATATGTCTGAGAGTTACTTTGGTAGGACAGAAAAAAAGACAATAATGAAATTTCTCTAAAGCCTACCATATCTCAAAGACAGAAAAAATTAAGGCCTTAAAGCAACAGTCACTTCAAATGCAGGTGTAGTAGCTGAAGATATTTTAAGTCTCCGCTTGCAACATACTTTTACAAACCTAAATGTACTCAGAATCACATTAGGTTTTCAGCCACACAATTCCTCCAGAAAACAACAGTGCTGAAGACAAAAACATATGGCATAGTTGAGGTGTGGTAGCAAAAAACAACCCCAAAACCATTCCTAAATTATATATGTTCTAGGCCAACATCACATACCCATCATATGATATACAGCTGCTTTCTGCATTGTAAAAAAACATACTTCAATCACCGTGCTAGCCTGCAGCTCTGTGGCTGTAATTATATGTGGATCTAGCATAGACTATTGTACACTGTATAGAGGGAGAACTGGGAGTGAAAACAGCTCAATGTTTAGTAATAAAAATACTCAGCTTAGTTCATGCTGACTAGGATTCAAAGGTAAGGTTAACTTGCTGTAGAAGGGTGAGAAAACAAGAAGGTTACATGGGATTGTTCAGACAGAATACACAGAAAAGCACTGAAAGCATTAGTCTAATTCTAGCTACTTTCCTTCTAAATTGTTTTTCATTTTCTTTAATCCATAATGGGACCACATGCAGGATGCCTTCTATATTTTCCATACTGACGTACTTTGGCATCAACAAAGTGTTTACACCCAATGTTTAAACCTCCAACACTAAGTGAGCCAATGCTTCAAAGGCCATTAGTTCCAGTGACGGAAGACAGCAAGATCGTGTTTACAGAACAACTTCCATGACACAAATCATCTGAATGAAATAATCCACAATTGGAAAGAATAGGTGGATATAGTTAAGTTTCTGGAAAACCAGCAGCTCTGAATGTAAAGAACATTTTGCACATCTAGAGAGCAACTTACTGGTGTATGAAGAACTTCCAGAAACATTCAAACGTTAAATCTACAAAATGCTCACATCAAAACAGTAATTATTGCTTTCTACAGAGGAGGGGTTGCTTTGACTTAATGTGCTACTGCTCACTAGCTGAGCAGCACTGACTACCCACAAAGCCTCATTTTCTTCAAGTCAAACAGTGGTTAACATATGACCTAAAATTTACTAAATTCCTGGACTAGAATTTAGATTATGCCTTTTTGTCGAACTAAGCCAGAAATAAGTTGTTACATATAAAATTAATAAATAAACAAACCTACTGTTTTGAAATTCAAATAACTGGGTAAAAACGGACAAATTTATCCTGTCATACTTACACATGTCCCCCTGCCACTTTAAAAGCACCTAAATTTTGTCCTTTGTCCAACTGCAGAGCGGTGACTTTTTGCTTTAATGTAGCGCTAAAGTAGTATTTAGGCAGTGGAAGTTCATACACATCCCTACATAAATGCACCTTCAATGGCAAGACTGATGTAACTTTTGGAAAATAATCTGAGATCAAGGCTCTCTATAAAATACCATGTGGGAAAAATGATTCTTTACTGCACTTGAAAAGCAATTGAAAATCTGGAAAGGCCAATTATTTGCAAAAGCTTTATTTTGGAATCAGGCTATTCAAGTGGAGTTCTCAAATCACAAACAGTAATGTTGGGCAGACAAATTGTTATAAAAATTCATTTAGCAATCCGAGTTCCTACACATAAAATAGTGATTTAACCACTCAAACAGAAACAAAGCAGTCAAGCTTTTAGCAAAGATGTCATACCAACATTTAGTCTAGAAGTGTTTACTCAAGGACATAGATATATTTTTAAAATCAAGGGGGAACAGAAGATCTTGAGACATGAAATATGCGTATTCTAATACAAGTGCCTCTTAAAAACTGCAAATATAGAGTACTAACTATTGAAATGGATTCTAGTGACCTGTTAGAAAGACATGCTGATATGCATCTGTATATTGTTGAAATGTGGTTGAAAATAAAACCTGGAATTCAGGTTAAGTTTATACTAGAATAGTTGCATGTCTTTCTGATGAGCCAGTTACCATTCTAGCATTAGCCCCATGCAGCTATCGTAACAATAATTCATGGAAAACCAGTTCTGCTTGTAAATATGCCCACTTATGTGTGTAGGGACTGAAAGACATGACTGAACTCTCTGTACGCGGAAGTGCAATTGCACTTCAAATTAGGATGCTACAGGACCTGGCTTGACTAGTAAGAAATAAAAAAGCTTCTGTTTTTTTAAACAATGACTTACAAAATAGCTGTTCTTCCTCTATTGAAAACCATTAGTCAGGACACTATTTTCAAAGCTGTCCATATTTTGATAATACCTATGAGGCTGACTCAGAAAGAGTAATAACAAGAGGAGTAATATTTTTTAGTTCTGTACATGTGCCAAGATAAAAAAAGAAATGTTAAACTTTGTATGAATTTCTGGCTTCCATGAATAGATGCAAAAATAAGTCACTACAATACCCAATTAACTCACAAAGTGTGGGCTGAACAGGAAAAGCAGTCATACTATCTATCTTCAGTAGCGTTGTCATCTAATAGATCCACCTACAACGGAGTGCTGCTAGGAAATGAGCATGTCTGAATTTTACCTTTATATGTGAAATAACACTATGGCCTTAAAACACTGTTTGAAGAAGCCAAAAGCACACCTTATCCTGTCTGTAGATCAAGCACAGTGTGAAAATGTGTCAAAGAACAAACTTTTTCACCAAGACACCAGCTAGGAAGCTGTCATGACCAACCAGATTATAGGTCAGTGCCAAAGCAATGCATTCTAGTTAGCAGCAGCTTTAATTGCTGTTGCTAGAAATTGTAATATTCTTCACCTCCAGCTGAAAAAAGAAGAAAATGGGCAATTTTCTAACAAAACATGACAAGGACACTTCCATGCAAACAATGTAGGGACTTTATATACTGATCCAGAGAGTCACAGTGACTAAGGGCCCATGGAAGGAAGCAGGCAGGTGTTGCTTGCAGCACAGCCAAAAAAAGGTGTCAGCAAGTACTGCTCACTTTGACCAGTGGCTTGAAAACAGTCAATAAAAGTGATCTTGTTGTGTTTCTCTCTTTGCCCATCGATTTCAAGGAGGCTTTTGGGACTAGAGAAAGTAAATGGAAGAAAAGTCTGGGTTCTTTAGGCTGCATGGACCAAATGCTAAAATGATAATGGATTTGCTGGTGAGAAGTTCTAACAACAAAATGGAAGTGTGAGCAACAAAACAGGTGAGATTTAACACTTCTTTCTTCCCCCAGACATGATGGGGAATGCTTTCAAAACCTGATATGCAATACTGCCATTAGTTTATTTTGACTGGACAATTAGGATGTATTTTCAGGGCAGTGTGAAGGGAATTAAGGAGACAACGTCCATTAACAGCAACATCAGGGTTCCCTCTCACAGCTGGAAACAAAGAGCAGACTTTCTTTCCATATTTATCAGTCTGCACTTTATTAAAATGAACACACTAGAAAAAGTATGTAAACATATTTAAGAAGAAAGGGAAATACTTCAAAGAAGGATTGAGAAATATAAAGAGAATTATCAGAAAAGTTTAAGTTGGGGTTTTCAAATTCATATCCAGTAGGACTTGAGTACTTTGTCCTTTAGGCTCTTCTGAAAATCTAAGCATTAGCTAGAAGATTTCTTCTGACATTTAACTAATTTCACTGAAATCCAAGAAGCTGTTCTTACAAAATTATACTCTACTGAAACTAAAGTAGCTTCAGGCCACTGAAGTGTATGATAAGCTATGCACTTTGGAATCTGCAGAGACTGTTTTACATGAACTTTTACTGTGCACTGCACTAGGCTGTGGCATGGCAAAACAGTCATCCTGCCTGAGGCTGGCAACCTCAAAGTTTGTTCTGCTCCTCCAGCTAAAGCAATTCAAATGTTTTTCTAAATCACACCCTGAATCCTCCAAACCTGTGACTTCAGCAGTGTGCAGTTTTCCTTCCCTGAATGAGGTTTTCAACATATGAACAATAAATAATTTGATTTTGAAACTCAAATGTTATCATCTTAAAGGGAAAGCACGAAAAAACAGCATCATGACATGTTTGTACCCTAGAAAGATAACTTACATAGTAGACAAAGAGACTAAGGTGCTGAAGGCTCCAGGAGTGATAGTGCTGATGTGATTGTCATACAGAGAAAGAAGCCTCACTGAGCTCAGTCCAGCAAAGGTGTCGTTGTTTATACAGCTGATAGAATTGCTCCTCAGCATCCTGCAAGGATTAAAACAGTGAATTAGGAACTACCAAGAGAGAGTATAATTTCACACTAGGAGGTCCTTTATCTAGGGCATTAACAGATACTTTGGCAAGCACTGTTCTCTATTTTTATCCATTGCTGAAGTACAACACAGCTATAGGAGGACTAGATGCATGGAAACACGATGAATTTAAAACATATTTCATCCACAAAACATTAGAGGCTGTTGGGAGCTCCATATCTGAAAGCAGTACGCAATTACAATTTTATGACTAGTCCCAAACCTGAAACACAAACTAAAGTCTTAATTCAGTAAATATCTGAGAGTAGGTGAAGATGGATTTCAGACATCAGTTGAGAAAGACTGACAGCAATGTGTGACAATAACAATACCACTTGCATTACTTCTGCTCCCATCATGGATGGTTTTTGTAATGCACACTAGAGAAGCATGGAAGAAAACAGCAACCTCAGCAGAAATAGCTTAGGAAATAGCTTAGGAAAGGTTTCCAGACCTAACACAAATTCTGAAATGCCATTATAACCATTAATTGACAAGAAAGCAGCAACCATCCTATAAAATGGCCTTTTCTCAGTGCTTGTATCAGATGAATCGTGCTGTGTTTCGGAAGATACATCTCTCTGAGTTGTTATGGTAACAATGAACTCGATAATAAAGCCCAATTAATCTGTAGTATCTTGTTTTACTCCATAGCAAAAAGGCTCATGTGTATTTGCTACACTGCATGCGAATCAACATCTGGGTCTGTAAACATCATTACACAGTTGTGATATTCCTACTTAGGTGAGAAATTATTCAGTAATTAAAGCATATTACCAAAAATCCACAACATAGACGCAGGTCATGCTGCTGTTCCAGTAAATTGATCCTCCAGATTGAGCAGGGTTAATTCCTTGGTATCAAATTCATGCAGTGTACAATGAAAATTCAGACTCCCTTAGAAGTCTGGATTTAAATCTCAGATTGGCATCTGCCATTAGAGTGTTTAGATGGTACATCAATAGATACTTGGAAAACACCAAAGAGAGATCAGATATGGCTGGGAAGAAATTCACAGCATAATCAGGAACACTCAGTGTTTAAGACGTGAACATTACGTTGCTTTTCGTTTACTGCTGTTTCCATACTGTTACCATCACAGGCACCATGGTCTCAGTTGTTCTGATATTGCAACTGGGATGAATTTATGTCAGAAGAGAGGCACAGGGCACAGACACACACCTTACACGTGGAGCACGAAGCTGTCTGAAAGCCAGGTCAAGATCACAAGCTCTAGAATGAGCAAGGTAGCAAATCAGAATAAGGGCCTTCATGTCTTAGTAGCAGTAGGAAACTTTTTCTCCATTCTGTAGGTGAGGTACCAGACAGTAGTACTGCAAGATGGGCTGACCGAATTTGGATGCCAATGCATCTTGCACAGTGACTTACTGCATTTCAGAAAGCACAGAGTCTTTTAAAAACTGAAGCATGATTCTGGCCAGGGTGGCCTCTTTGTAAAAGATGACAATTTTAATGTTCAAAGAAAGTCAATTAATGGATAGAAATAGATGTCCCTCCAGCCAAAGCCTTTGGTTTTGTATCATGGTTCACTGTGCACTGTGTGCCCTTCCTGAAGGAAAACTTATACTTGCAGATCTTCGTATCATGCTGTGTATATTTAGACTGCTTTATCAGCTAGGGGGAAATGTAGGTCAGGTCAGCAGGATAGTTTGAATGTTAAGCATCTTTTTATTAAAAAATGCTGAATTTTCTTTAGGAGCACTGCCACAGGCTGCTTTACAGTATAAAAATTAATTTAGTATCTATGGACAGTATTTTCAAATCCCTTAGTAAAGTGCATACATTAAATTAAAGAACAGATGGCTATAACCACAGAAAAAAAATGTTAAAGGAACAGCAAAAGAAAAGTTTCCTATTTGTCATCTCAGGCCGAAGTCCTTGAAGTGAAACTTGGATTTTTAGACTGAAGTAATTGTGCCATGATACTTTGCAACATAAGAAGCATTCGCTGCTAACAAATAAATTGTAGATTTTAAACTGCATTTTGATTTCTAGAGTCTATTTACTAACAGCATCCACCTCATTAGGTACTTTCTTTCTACAGCAGGGAAGACTTTGTGAGAGAGGTATTTTTCACATAGAGATCATACACATTGTCTGGCATGACTCTTTGTTGTCTCCAGAAGCCTAGTCCCTGACTGATTCTTGGGATGGTGGATGGAGTGGATTAGACATCATCTTGAAATCTTGTCTGTGATCCTTCTTCCAATACAGCTTTTAACATGAAAATAAATTAATCTTAGGTACTATGCGTGTATGTATAAGTGTTCATTCTCAGAAATAAATTACAAAGGTTGTCTAAGCACAAAAGTAACAGCAAACTTATTTCTCATGCATTTAGGTTCTACGTCTCCACACTCTCCCCAGCCACAACCACATTAATAGTATACTCACACGTAATTTTTATGGTACGTGGTGCAGGCAAGAAAGACCATGTCCAAAGCCATGCCTGTGCTCATGGGCTACTACACCTAGTACAGAATGAGTAGCCAGCTACCTTCTGTCAGCAGGACCCTTAACAGTTTTGTTATGCTTGCCTTAATGTTGCTCAGCTATACCTGTTCTGGTGGTGGTAATAACTTGAGTTCCTTCTCTCCCTACCTACTGATTTTATGCAGTTTGTATGATATGAAAAATCTTTCAGGCTCCTTAGCCTACACTGACGTTTGTTTTAAGCAGACCATCAATTCTAATTTGGGTGGGGGTGGAGTGGGAGGATGGACTAACAGACAGCAAACATAGAATCATTAAGGTTAAAAAAGATCTCTAAAATCATCAAGTCTAACCATGAACCCAACACTACCATGAACACTAAACCACGTCCTCAAGTACCACATCCACACATTTTTTTAACCCCGCCAGGGATGGTGACTCCACCACCCCCATGGACATGTTGCTAAATGCCTTGTTTCCATATGAAATAACAAAATAATACAAGTATTAAATGATTAAAAGTGCCCAAATTTGACCCATGACAGCTTCACCATTGTGTTATTCCTAAAATTCTTGAAAATCTGTGTTTCCATAGAAATAGCAGATAAATCTCAAACCAATCCAGGATTAGAACATACTGAAGACTTCATGACAGTGATACAAGAAAGCGTCTTAGGGCTTGATGTCTAATAACAGATATTTCAGCAGGCATTGCCGAACTTGAGCACTCCCACTGAACTTGCAGAGGAACAAAGACAAATCATTGCACTTACAATGTCTTTAGCCCTGTGAGGCCTCTAAACATTCGTCCATGCACTGATTCCAGTTGATTCTCCGTCAGAATCAGTTCCTGCACTCCAGAAGCTCCATCAAATGTGCCTTCTCGGATCTCCTTGATCTTATTGTTGCTTAGATTTCTGGAAGGACACAAGCAGTAACAATAAGAAAATTATTAGTGTTTTATTCCAAACATACATCATTACACTGGAAGGAGGAAGACAGGAAGATTATGTACCATTTTATTGCTATCCAGAGAGACATCCATTCAGCAAGGAGAGCATACAGAAGCTCAGAAGTATACCTATTGTACTTGTAAAGAGCTCCTCTTCACCCATCAAACCCACAACTATAACAGATATATCAAAAGTATCTAAATAAATGGCATTACCAGCTCTTACACCTCATGTCATTCTTGCTTATAAGTGTCTCAGGAATACAGTAAATTTTTTTAACATCTGATTTACGTCCATGAAGTTATGAACCATGCTTGGGACTGGGTGCTCAACTGGTAAGAATCAGTTGATGTTACTACCATTGAAATATGTACCACACATTGACATATGAAACACTTTTATTTAGTGTAGCAGGACCTTTACTGGTTTTAATCTCAACACTGGAGTACCACAGCAAACTTTGTGACTGCAATACAAATTTTAATATGTGCACTCAGGAACTCCCAGGCACCTACATTTAACACCACCACTTAAAATGAAATAAGTATCACGTAATTCTCAACTCACAGCTACTGCATTATACAGCATTATTTTCTAAATATTTACTCTGTCTATACAGTCTCAGGATGTTTGCTTATAGATCAACATTGGAAAACTTCAATCTACAAAGTCAAATGAAGTTCGGATGAAATGCAAAATGGATCTTTTGAATATTTCATAGTTGTGGAAAACTCAGTGAGTAGAAAACTTCTGAATGATAAAATGCCATTAGAGATGCATAAAAGTGAATGGCATTTAATTATTTAAAACATTTATATAAAAGGCCATAAGCATATTAAAACCTTGGGCCTCAGTCTTTCAAGCATCTCCCATGATGCCTTGTATAGATTATGATGAATAATCCTACTTGTTTAGGCTTATGACAGGAAACACTATTCTTTGTTTTACTCTCTGCAACAAAAAAGAGAAATTCAAAGATACACTCCTTCTCCCAAGAAGATGCCAAATTCCAACACTATTACTCATCCTGAACAGCAAATTATTCCAGAAGTGATCCCAGCACACATGTAGCATGAGTAATAGCTTCAAAATCCAATTCCAGGTGATATAAAACAAATGACAAGGTATCAGATTAACACCTGGGCTACTCTCCTCAGAAGAACAGGCAATCTCATTGGGATAAAAGTTGACAGAAGACATGGCAACAAGACAGCTTGGCCTCAGATAGAAATAATGTGGGTCTTGCTCTTTGCAGAAGTCATCACTTAATAAAATAAATAAAAAAAAAAAGTTGAGCCTTGGAGATACGTTTCATGTGGGAAACTTCAGTACACTGGTTTATGTCTGCTGAACAACTGTCAGATAGTGGGCCCTACAGCATGTGGCCCATCACCTCTTGTGCATTCTGTGATCAGAAAGAATAGGAGTATGCCAGCAATCAGCCAAAAATAACATGAAAACATACAGAAATACTTACATGCAGATTTTTGCTTTCCAGAAGGTTAGCACTTTGTGCTAATACTCACACGAAGAGTTTATGTTCAGTGTCAAAGCAAGTCAAGGAAGGATATTCTGACATATGCATTTAATTTTGGGGCTCAGCTATTTCCCTAGTGGAAATGTTTATAGCTCAGCATCTCTTTTGAATGCTGGCATAAATAAATGCTCCCAATTTTTCTGGTAAAGATCATGCCATGATGCATATTAGCCCAAAAATAAATGAATAAAGAAGTAACGTTTGTGGTGGGAAGGAAGAGTGAGTTACTATAATACACAAAGACTTTGACTTTCAGTTCACAGATTGTAAATTGATCCATACTTCCAGTTACACAGGTTTTTTTATTTTTTTTTATTTTTTTTTATTTTTTAGTAAATGAGCTATTTAGTCTCATATATTAAAACAAGAGTGCAATTTTAAAGGATTAGATACTCTAGGCAAAAAAGAGCAAATATTGGAGGAAAACGCTGGCCATAATTTACAAAAGAACTGGAACATATATACAATGCAAACCATGTGAATTTTAATTGCTGCCAAAGATCTTCTGTAGTTATGGAACTTCACTCATTTGGGTTAATAACACCTGATCATTTCAACAACACAAAATTATCCAAAAATATGTTAGCAGTTTCAGAAGCTGCCAATTATAGATACTTTTTCCATGCAAAAGCTTTGAAAATCCAAGATTAAATGCTCTGATGAAATCAAAGTTTCAAGGCAGAGAAAAGACAAGCTTTACAATAATAAACAGGTAAAGATGACACTGCCCTGCAATCCCACTTGGAGTGTTATCAAAGCAGATGTTCTGTCAACCTGCATTTCTTTATTTGTCTTCTGAGTTAAAGCTTCCCACATCAGAATGCAACAACAGCAAAAAAAAGGTAGACGACAGCACTCATTCACTAAAAAAACAAATAAACATGTCCTCCTTAAAGTCTGACCTACTAGAAAAATAAACAGGAGAAATTACATACTTTTCAGTCTAGAATTACCAGCAAAAATAATCGGCTGATATAAACCTTGAAACATAAAAACAGTGAAACTTTTGTCTCCTCTGCAATTCAGAGAACTCTGCTCTGTCCTTCCCACCACTAAAAGAATCTTTCATACATGATCATAGCCCATGACAAAGAATTTATTTAATAAGAAAAAAAAAACCTTCTGACAGACTTTGCAGCAAATTGCCATTATGGAAAAGCCCCATCCTCTTCCAACACTGAGCTCCTGTAAGGAATTCTTCTTGAAATACTGGAAGACAGTGGAAAAAAAATGAGTCTTGAGTATTTCCCAAGCTCTCTATGCCCTCTGGCAGGACCCAAATGGGAACCTACAGTCATCCTGGTCACTCAAGAAAGGGTATTGTTTCCATAAGGACTCCCTGATTTAACCTGGTGATAACTTTTAATCCTACTTTCATTCTAGGCAAGAGGTCAAAAGAAATTTTCAGAAAGCCTGGGTTTACTTTACGTGGGGCTGTGAATAGGAAATGAACAGATCTAAGAAGCTATCAAGGTGACGTTGTTCACGCAGCTCACTTTTCGGTCTGATTTTATTTACTTTATGGCTAAAGTTTATAATAATATTATTTCTGTTGATCTTACAACTTCAACAGAGAACAAGCTGGATTCTATTCAGACTTAACAGAATCAGTTACCCTGCTGTACCTGCTGGTCCAGTTTAACATTCCAGCATGGTATTCACTGCTATTCAACATCCCAGAAGGAACCACCAGAGCAGAGTTCAGCTTCACAGGCTCTGCCTGGCCTTACCTTGAACCTTGGAGTTTTATCATACAAAGAGACTGTTCCTGGTGGGGGTTTCCCTAGAACATTTCTGCCCGTTGGTGATGTGTCTGGAATTAAGTATATGTTAAGAGGAAAACCCCAGTGCTGTCACATTCTTCTGGAGGATGCTGAGAAGGTTGTAGAGCTTTTGCCAACAGTCTGGCTAGCTGTTATAAAGCGATTGGTTCTCGGAGGCAGGATGGCACTGAAAGGCTTGGACACTACAGACAGTGAAGTACACGCAGTGACACTCCCACACTGATTCAGCAGAGCAGACTGATGGCCTCATTGGAAAAAAAAGGGAGGCACACGATGTGCCCAAATGCCACAAACCACAACACTCTCTCCAATAACATTTCCAGAAAATAAAGTCTGTTTCTGCATAACAAGTGACAGGTGACTGCAACCTCAATTGCCATGGCAAGATCTATGCTTGGTGGAAAAACCAGCAGGTAACAGCTGTTTCCAAAGACCTAAACTACTTCTGGTTTTGAAACAGACTTCTAGTCTGCAAGCTTTATCCTGATTCAGTTTTATTTTGCATATAAAAGGTGTTAAATCCTGGGCTGACACTTCATACAGTTCAGTGTAGGAGAAATATTTACAGACAGATTAAACCTCCAAAGGCCATTATGTGGCAGAGGTGGGGTTGGCAGTACCAGCTGTTGCCAGGACGGCGCGATATTTCTTATTATAAGAGTTATTATAAGTTTACATTCACTTTGTAACTTCAGCAAGATTTAACAGAATTAACTGTTAGAAGTCCCTTTCAGGTTTTGAGGTAAATATTTTTTGTTCTTCTTGTTCTTCAGGAAAAAGAGGTCAGTCCCCTTTCTCCCTAGCAGTGCATGAAGTGTGGCAGTCCACCTTTTTAGTTTGAATTGCCAACTTTTTCCCTGCAGAAACAGCTGCCAGGACCTCAGTGGGAATTGCCAGTCCCACCAATTTCCTGTAGGTGCTGGGGAGTGAGCAGGCTCTGGAGCTGACATCTGGAAGCTGCAGCCTCTCTCTGTGTGTCAGCATCCCATTTCAGCAAGCAAGTGTACCTCTGTTCTCCCACTTAGTTAGGCACCCTGTGGGTTATGGAGCTTGGACCTGTCTGGCATGGCCAGAAGACCCCTTCAGGCTCCCACTGCCATGGCAGTCCCCAAGCACTTAGTTTCTTTTTGTACCAATTAATAACTTGAGTTAGTACAGAGAGTTGTGTGGTCCCCAGCATTTGCTTCATGTTGAATTTTGTAGTTTCTGTGAGCACAGAACTGCTCCACAAAAGTCAAACCCCTTACCCCTGTGAACAGTAGTGTTGCCCCTTACCCCTGCTTGGTGTGAGATCTGGCAGTGTTGAGAGAGAATATCTCCCACTGGCAGCCTGCTCATCTTGTGAAGGGCAGAAGCTTCCAGCTCCCAGGACTGGAGGGCAGCAGGTCCTGCAGCCTTCCCATCTCCCAAAGATAGGATACTCCCAAAAACCCAAGTCATGGAGCTGGTCCCACTCTAAAGGAGCTCAGAAACATACCCTTGTACTTTTGCACTTCAAGCAGATTCCAGTTGCTCTGTTCTGAGCATCCTGCAGAACACTAGCAACACAGTCCTTGGAGCCTGGGAGTCACTGGAATGTGACTTTAGATTTCAGAGACAAGTCATCCCTTTACACTTGCAAGAACAGGTGAGGTAATAACGCTAAGAACTCAATGAAACCAACACAGAGCTCAGGGCATTTTCCAGTACCCACTGGAGAATCCAGTAAATTATTTCTGGACTGGGTTAGATCCACCTACAGGAGTCAACATCAACCTTTCTATTCTACTGTAAAAAATATTAAACATAATGGTGGATTACAATTTAGGCAATGAAAATAGCGCTGTGTATATGGGTTTTACAGCTAATTATTGAAGTTGATTTTTTTATTCTAAAAAAAAAAAAAAAGGCACAGGCAGACAGGTTAACCTTCTAAAAACCAGCAGGGTAATCTTAGCAATTTATTTCCTAGATAAAATGTGGCATAACTTTGCATTATGGTTCTGTGACCTTTAAATTTCTGTATCAAGAATTCAATTTCATTTTGCATTAAAATGTATTAAATCCCGTGCTGACATATCATACAATAAGATTCCACTTAGGAGGAATATTTAGAGAGAAATTACACCCAAAAAGCTAATGAGATATTAGAGGTGAGGTTGCCAGTGCTACCTCTTGCAAAGGTGGTCCGACACTTCCCTTTTTTTTTATTCTTATTTTACAACATTGGCAAGATTTAAAAGAATGAACTGTCAGATAGCCTTTGCATTTAGAGGTAGATATATTTTAGTGTTTTTTTCCCCAGGAAATAAAGCTAACCAAAATACCATTTTTTTCACATCTCAAAACTTTGTTATCGTTTTATGAAAAGTCTGAAGCGCTCAAATTCTGATTTCAAATTTGTTAACTGGGAACTACCATGTAAGTGTTTATTCAAAGGATGCATCGTCCCTGTGAAAATCTGTTACGGCTTGTCTCAATTCTTAACTCTTTAACAAAGAGATTTGAGATTCCTGCTACAATCCAAGAAGACTACAGGACTTTTTGTTAAAAAAAATTGGATTTTAGGTGCTAATTTTGCCAAGATTTTTCTCACTTCAGATTCTTCTTCTGAAATCTTCCAATGTCTCTTAAGACAGTGCAGGACGCTGAGCTATAGACTGTGCAAATCTTGGGATTGGGGACATTTCTCTGTTCAAGTATCTACCAATCTCAGGTAGTATGTCCTTGGGTTGGATAAAGAGGGGGCCCCAGAGAGATCTGTGAAGGTTATAAAAAGAGCTCAAGGTAATGCAATGGAATAACTGTGCATGAGGGTGGGAAGGGAGCCTGAGGGCTAAGAGAAGAGTTTTGTCAGTGGCTAGAGAGATGGGGAAAAGAAGACGGGACACTGGCCATATGATGAGGCAAAATATGGTGAGAATAGAACACACACTGAATCAGAAGATAGGGAACCTATCAAGGGACTGAGACAAAAGTCCAACTGAAAATTATTATGTGAATGTCTAATTAAAGACTATTTTCACCGATACACACTGAAGCAATCCTAATATGTCAATGCCCAATCTATGACTATGATCCCTTTGGAATCTTATAAGAAAACCCAAGAGACTGTGACACACCACACTCAGACATGGACAACTGATGGAGCCCGAGTGACAAAAGAACAAATATGAGTGTACACTTAGAACGCAAGTAAAATCTGAATCCTCTTTAAAGTCCAATTTACAAAACACTTCCAAATGTTTGTTATAAACCAAAGCTACCCATAAGCATAACGTAAGATGAGGAGACACCAAGATGAAGAGGAAGGAAGAGCTAATTCGCTATCTGTGGAATTATGCTGGTGCTTTACTAGCTGCAGTGCAACTGTAGTACTCTTAAAGAAGTTTCTGTGCAGATTTCCTTGACACAGATCTGTCGCTAGTCTTGAACTGAAGGACAATCAGAGGGCATTCATTTGAAAGCCCATTCAGATACCCAGATTCCAGATACTCATATTTATTTCTGAAAAAGAGATAATAACAGAGATTAAATAAATAATAAAAAAAAAAAGGTGATTTAGGTGACTTAGTCTAATGGTCTGCCAGTGCAAAGCTCTGAAGTGTTTTCCTAAGCCTATGAAGCAATGCAGTTTCCAGACAGATTCCTCCAGCTGCTGTTTTCCTTAAACACTTGAACAGACAAGGAATATGAGACAGAGTCAATATTGCCAATCAAGTAACAGTAAAATTTCTTGTCCCTTATAAAGACATGAAAACAGGGCTTGGATCAATACTCTTCCTGCTTAATGTAACAGCAGCAGTAAGACTTAATGAAGAGCACATGCATCACATTCCTGCCACACACAACTGCTGCATTAGGACCGTCAGCAGCAGCAATCCCAGCCACTGGTATTTCCATACACTTCCCTTCTTGCATGATGGGGAGGGGCCCGTTATTAGCAGAAGGATGCTTAGTAAAGTCCAAATAGTAACACAGAAGGAAAAAGGTGTATGTTTGCTCGTTTTTTTTTTTTTTTTTTTTCCTTCGGTAACCCCCTCCCCTCACAAAAATGGAACTAGAAGAATTAGAAAAAATAAGTCTAATCTGGAATTTTATGGATCAGGCTGCTGAGTAAGATCATAGTTGAAATGTTGCTCCACTTATATGAAAAAAACACTCTTCAGAAAATCCCTTTATTCAAAATGAGATACTTCTTTACAGCATCAGGTAGAATGGAAGAAATTAGCTCAACTACAAAGAACCTAAAGAGGTTCTGTCACTAAAATCCCGTATGTGAGACACTTTATGAGGTGCAGGGCACAACTTCTTTTTGCCACGCATTTGAACTGCACCCGTACACCCCTGTTCTCATCACCGACCAAGAACAGAGCAGGAAGATTTTTTGTTTCACAGGAAACAAACTCTTAAAATAACTCTTGTAACTGTTTCATGATGCATTTATGCCTAACAACAGAGCCCTGTCGAGGCATCCCTCCCACCCAAAGAACTGATGGGAACAGGAAGGACACCACTGTGACTTGCCTTTGGCGAATTTTAAATAAAATTAAATTAGTCCAGCTATCACATCTCTCCAATTCTCAAAACATAAATCCTGTGGGTTTGATGAGGACAGATGCTTTCCAGTTTGTCTGTATTTTTATATACCATTTTTCATTCCCATTAAGTATCTATGTACATAGACAACAGAACACTTCAACAATGTCAACAACGTTCTCTAAGTGCACTGTAGCTACAACTTACAGATCATTCATAAACTATGAGGCTAATATATATGATTAATTCTCCAAGTCTGGTGGCCTGTACTTGCACAAATACAACCCCCACTCGTGAACCTGCAGCACGGCATCTGAAAATCCTGCAGAAATAAAACTGACGTAAAAACCCTAGTACTGTTTTCTCCAAAGCCCCTGAGATCTTAGATGGATTCAAATGGCTCAGAAGCTCCAGATGGCAGAAACCACACGGCATGAATGCAGAACACAAAAAAGTCTGGTTCGTTGGTTGGTTTCCCTAAATTACCTTGACTCTAGCAATAAAATCTTACTAAAAGTAAGAAGTTAGAGGACACATTAATAATGGGGACATACAGTTAAAACTTTAAATAACTTCAGAAACATTATAGAAGACTATCAGGAGGTATTTAATATATTATACCCTTTCCAAAACACAGCTTTTATTAGATATATACGCTGCACAGTGTGTGCCAGGACTCAGGCTGCCAGCAGAATTATACAGGTATTTTTTAATGACTGATCTCTAAATTAGCTAATTTCTTCTCCTGCCTAAAACAATAATGATCAAAGGAAGTTGCCACCATCTACATCTTGCAATATCATTTTCCTTTAACTATTTGAAACAATCACACTAGTTGGGAGTTGCGTAACACATTCAAAAGACAAAAACAGAATGCTAAGCTTCATAGCCATCTCTAATAATAAACATACATCTGAATAAATTCTGGAACAGAATTTCCTTCAGTCTCCATGAGTCAAAGACTTTCAAGGAATACAGCCTTAGGAATACTGAAATATCAGCCTAGGGATCTTCATCTGTCACTGTGGTTTAACTAGGCCTGTCCATCTAACAGGTAACTCATCCAACTTCCTTAAATTCACATAAAAAAAAATGTAATTATTGCTAGTACAGTACAAAAGGGTAAAAAAATCATCCCTTCCTCCTTATAATGCAAGGCAGCATGTATTCCAACAAGCAAGCGACTCAAACTTACATTTTTCTGAGGTTGGGCAATTTCTTGAAGAGTCCGATAGCTTCCAAAACAGAAATATCATTGTCATTCAAACGCCTGATAGGAACAAACAAAGAGACATATAATATTTGACAGATGTCTATGAATATATCTCTGTGACATACAGGGCTGCTACACGGGGAACTATGACCTTTGTTAAGCAAGACACTATCTGCCATCTCTCTCTGATTCCTAGAGTGAAAAGAGTTTAGCTTTGAAGGAAAGGGAACCTAGAAGAGTATCTATTGTGAAGGCTTAGGATGCCTTTAGGAGCGTGAAGCCAAAGGACAGTGTCAGAAGGGCTTCTTCCGATGCACAGGACAAGGGATTATTAACCTTAACCATTACACAGCCTTGTTTGCGTGACCAAACCTCCCTCACGCACTCCACTAGAGAAGACACGCAATTGGAGATGCGGTCCACGTAAACAGAGGGGACATGATTTCAGGTCCTTTCTCATCAAAGTCTACGGGTCTTCAAAACGAAGGCAAGCATCACTGTCTCAGCAGGGTTGGGGTGCAAAATTCCTTCTCTGATTAGACGTAGCTCCATTTTTCTATGTAGAGACTTCACTATATTTCTGGATAGCTCTCATATTTCTCTATCTTCAGATCAGGTCAACAATTTTTATGGGAGTTTAAACAGAACATCTTAAGTACAATAAATAGCATACTGACATAAAGAGAGACTTTTGTTTGAAGTGGCTACTAATATAGCAAAAGAACCAAATTCCTGACTTACTAAGTAATAAACACGTTTTCTCATGTTCTCTTTAGCATTGTATTATGTTCATAATCCCAAAGGATTTCTGAAAGCAAATAAACTTCATAATATCACTTATAGCTTAACAATATATTAGTTTTAGTGAGAATCACTTCACCCAAGTATCAGGCATCACACAGAGTGAGTTCCGGATCACAGATTTAATTCAAAAGGGTTAATCCTTTTCTTACACAAAAAAATGACCAGATGCAAAGACAAAGGCCTCAAAGGTAGAATGAAAAGGAACCATACAGCTTGGGCCACAGAAGAGGTCAGCACTTTGAGAAGACACATACAGGCAGCTGGTGCACAGGGCAATGGCATGCTACGGAAGTAAGAGAGTTGTGGTGCTCCTTTGAAATAGAATTAACTTCCCCTGTTACACACATGGATTGAAGTAGAGGCTCGCTTGAAGAGGTCCGAGTCCCTTTTACAGCCTTTACAAACTAGGAAAACCAAGAAGCCCTGCTGAGCACTCGGAGAGCCAGCACTTACAGGTCAGTCGTGTATTCGGGCAGATGACTGGGTAATCGGGTGAGTTTTTGGTTAGAGCAGTCTACGATTGTTCCCTCGCAGCGACACTTCTCAGGACAGACAAGGTCCATGAAACACTTCCCACTGAATTTACTTCTGTAATCCTCTGACCCTGCAATAAAAGGAAAATATATTCCAGCAAACAGTTCCTGATAACCGCAGCAATCAGAGATTTTATGGAAACTATTCTCAACGTCACCTCCCGTCAGCTCCAAGCTCCTGCACACAATTTTAATGCTTGCCGAAGATTTTGTTCAGCAGCTTTTTCAAATTACTCCCAAGACTACCCTCCTGTTTTTTCACTCTTCCCTTGATAGATTAATTCCTTGTCTAACAAGCCTACCTGATAAGGTATTTTTTGAAGCATGTCTAATTAGCTCTTGGAGTCTGTTTCAAATGAGCTCCAGCAAAGTCACTTTTCCACATTTGGAACTTGGTTCAGCAACAAGGAAAATGGATATGATGAATGCAGGAGCTATCTTGGTGCATTCAAATGACAAAGGATTTTTAAAGATGTCATTAAAAAGTCCAACATTTTCAGACCTCAGCTATTAGAGTTACTTTTGAGGGCAAATTTATATGAGAGAACCTTGTCAATTTCCCAACAGTTAGATACCTTTATTAACTATGTTAAACAAACAGCAAAGGAAAGTAATAGCAGTTTAAATCATATTTATTTTAATTAAGGAAAGGGTAGACCATACTTAGTGAGAAGCACTCCCTAATGTACCATTATACCATGATTGCCAGACCTCTTTGACTAGGTTTTTGACCCATTCTAATGAAATGCTTTTCCAATTAGGCTCAGTGAACTAATCAGTCCTTTGCAGGTTTGTTTTTTTCTCTTTTAATAACAGCAGGTTGGAAACTTGATCTCTGTGCTTCAAGGAACCAGGAGTATTAATAAATGTGTATGTAAGCCAAGTGTTGCCAAGACCACACCATGCAATACCTGCCCACTCCATATTTCATAATGGAAGCACCAGGGTTGTCTCAGGAACCTTGTGTAATGTCCAGTGATCATAACTACTGAGGACTACTTTTTAACTTTTCCAGAGCTTTACAAGATGATTGCAAGGCTTTCTCAGGAAACATCTGAGAAAGTTCAGTTTTTAAGAACCTGAAAACATCCATAAAAACTTAAACCTGAGCTGAAATTTGTTTTTAGAGTCTCGATGATATTCATCACCAGCTTCCCCTTCCCAGACTGATAAATACACCACTGCTCACTTTATGGCTGCATACTATTTCCTGTAAGAAAAAAGAAGTCACGTAAACCCACTATTATTTTAATTTATGTTGCACATTACCTCCACACGGTGATGCACTGAAAGCAAGCAATGCTGCAGGAAATCTAACATTTTGATTCCACAGACACACTTCAGCTTAGCTTTGCAATTCTGAAGCAGATTATGAGAAACATCTCAGACAGCTTTGTACACTACACTTCTGCAGTGCTAAATACTTTGCAGGTTATCATGCTTATTGTAAATTATACAGCTAAAGTGCAACTTTGCTACTGTTTTTTAGCATGACAGCACAGCCTGTGAAATGTTAAGACCACTGGGCATTTTAAAACGTTATAAGAATAGAGACTAAGCCTTTCCCCACACCAGCATCATTTAAACTCTTATTCTTTCAAAAAAACCCATCTGATTTCCAGTCTTAAAAATTCCAGGCTTGGTAGTCAGGCTAAAATGTCTAATTGTGGCTTGGTTACAAGAACATACAGATATTCCTTCTTAGGTCTATGAGACATGGCATTTGGTTGTTTATGATTCCTTGCAAATAATGCTAAGGAGGAACAGTTATTTAGTAAAACTGCTACAGTGACAGTACGCCCTGAAAGACCCAACAAAATTTTTCACTGAATCAGGAAGTGTCTTGGAAATCCCCAAATGCACCCTTGGAGAAACACTTTTCATTTTTATTTCAAAAGTTTTCTTTGAAAGAATAATCACAAACATTATGAAGTTACACAGGGTAAAAATTTATTAAGTAGAATTTTTAGTCTAATATGATGGATACAAGATGTTCCTATGGGGAAGAAAAAGGAGGATGGGAAAGTAATTGGAATGCTTTATGAAGGAGAAAAAGGAATATATAACATTAGAGGATGAAAGTCAGTCTGATTTTCTCTCAAGCTTTTTGGTAAAGTAAATAAAGAATATTTAGCACATTTTGACTTGGAAGTCTCTCTCTGTTGATGGCATAAACTTTGGCACACAACTTCCCGTGCTGCATCAGCTATAAGAAGTTGATCTTGCCTGGGCAACAGTCCACAACCTCCACACTTGCAAGAGTGGAAAGCCCTCTCAGCTCAGCAGGAGAAGAATGGAGCAGACATCACCTTTCTCTCTCTCGTTAGTTTTTCCTTTTCCTTTTTTTTTTTTCCCCCTTCTGAATAAGTCTAAATAAGAGCTACCCAGGAAAGCAGTGAGTCAGAAGTAATCAATAGCATGTATATGCTCAGCAAGTACCCAGTCATCTGTTAGACTGAGAGACAGCAGGGATCACCTGCCAAAGACTAGATAAAATTTAGTTTGACCTCAGCCTTGAGATCACTTGGACAGGTGGCTGCTCTATTAAGATATTCCCAGCTGGGATACTAATGTGAAATTTAGCCATCTGCTTGCAGAACTATTTCAGTGCCTATATCCACTTCTACACAGGGGTTTTATCAGCGTACTGCTGCAGGGCTCTGTTGACCATGACAGGATCCAGGAAGTACAATTAACCACCACGTGCTTGTAGCTCTTCTTGCACACTATGAAATCACCTGTGGAAAGCCATGGAAAAGGGATGCAGGACAGGCACAGAAGAAACCCTTGGCTTCATTTCACTATTCCAGACCAGCCATTTGGTCATTTTATTCCACTTGAAAGTGTGTGTGCACTGTAGCTGAGAACTCCGTGAAGCTTGGCTGAATTTAAAACATGAATCTGGGAGTTTCTAGTAACTATCAAAATAAAAATAAAATTTTCTGTAAAATGAGTAGCCAAGGCAACAGCAAGGCCCGTGTTTAACTGATGGCAACTGTGTTTATCTGAATTGCTAGTTACTCTGATACCATTTTCATTTCACAACAATGTGGCACCACTATCAGGTACCAGGGTGCTGCAATGCTTGAGTACCATCAGACAAACACACAAGCCATTCTACAAACCAGCAGCATTGAGATAAAGAAATAACACATTGCCAAGTGCTCAGAAATCTTAAGTGCTTTTCTAATATCCACAAGGGGAAATTAAGCAACAGAGACAATTACATTCTTGTCCTCTTCATCTTTTCAAGCATTGTTTAGTAAACCTAATTTCAGTTTTTAAAACTTAGCTTTGCCCAAAGGACTTAAAAGAAATGCTAGATGATCTGTTCTGGAATATATCAAACTATCTCAATAGGGGCTTGAATACTGACCTGATATATTTATTCTAGAAAAGATGAATCCAGCTGCCTCAAATTTGGCACCAAAAATACGACCACAGAGATTGCTTGGTCTAAAACTTGGACAAAAAAACCAGGAATCTTGGCACTCACTTGTTCATGTAACCGCTAGATCACAATTCTCATACATTTTCAGGAAAATAAGGAGGTATGTTGTTTGTCATAATTTCACATTGCTGGTATTAATTCTTATGAGTAATTACAGATAAAATCTAAGAATCTCAGATGTCCTTCTTCTGATAGGTCCACAACAGATATGTTACAAATTGGCAAAAAGAGGCAGTAGATCCATATAAGAAAACTTCTGTATGAGGTTCTCAAGTCCTTTACAAATAGGTGTAATTATCTCTATTTTACATAGGAAGGAAGTTACTCAGAAGTATGCTAAAGATCTTGTCAAAGCTAAAACGGCCTTTTGGCTATGCTGCCTCAGCTTTGTGCTGTGCAATTATGGGATAGTACTGTTTTCACACATGCCGTGTTACCCATGCCATTACAGAGATAAAAGACAATGCCTTGCAGACTCTTCTGAGGTTCTTTTGCGGTACACTTCTTCGTAATGAAATGTCAGTGCACTAAGATTGCTCGGATAGGTCCAAAGTTAGCTTAAATAGCAGGCGTCTTATTACAGAACAGCACCCAAAGCGTATCTCAAGTAGAAGGTCTCACTGGACAGCTCAAATAGAGAGATGTAGCTTAGGTTATTTATATGATAAGAAGACAAAAAATATTTTTCACCTCTGGAGGTATGTCTGGAATCACCCACGAATCATATTAATCAACAGGATGCCTGGATTTTCCATTATAAGAGCAATTAAACAGATTAATTACTTAGAATGGTTATTTTGCATGCAAGCCCTCTGGAAAGTCTGTCGCAAACATCACTAGGGCTCTCCGCTGCAGTGCCTGGGAGTCTGGTTAAGCAACATTTCACCTTTTTCATTTTTCCTGGGAGAAAAGGGGAATCTCTCACCTTTTTGATGCTTCTGAAAACAGCAGAAGTATCCCAGCATGCCATGCGGCAGGGAGTATGCAGCCTTCCATGGTGCTTGACAGAACCATGTTCAATTTGTATTGTTCTACCACATGGTTAGATCAAGCACAAAGGAAAACCCCATGAACAGCCAGAGTCAGAGTTAGGCAGCGCCAAAGAGAGAGGAGCGTTGAGAGGAAGCAGCATGGAGAAGCACAAGCTGAAGGTTCACGGAGAGCTGCTCTCCACTCCACCCATGCAAAAAGGTGCCGAATACAAGAGGTCATCCTTTACGCTACAACTGCAGGAACACCCTGGAGCACAATTGGGGTTAGTGTACACGAACAGAGCCCAGGCGAGTTCAGAGGCAGAACTAACAGGACAGAAAACGCTACCAACGGCCTGCAAACAGCTCCTGCCAGGGAGGCTGTGAACTTCCACCATGTCTCGAATGACCAACCTACGCTGCTCTTTATTAGCCGCTTACTTACTCTCTGTTGGTGTCTCCTTTCAGTACAAATACCACTTTGGTTTGCTCTATTTATTTAAATGCAACCTTAGAAATACCGCAGCTCATATTAATACGAGTAGATTCTGAGCTCAAGGCCAAGCCTTGGCACTAAATGCTCCCCAAGCTCCCTTTGAGCCTGATTTCAGCTCCCAGTGGCCTTTCATGCTGGTGGCACTTACATCGA